CCGGAACGAGCAGGAGAAAGAGTCGAAGAAACACGCATCGTCCGTCGTGAGATTGACGAACCCGTCCGTGACATCCGCCGAGAGGAGCCAGCTCGCGTACAGGAGCGTGAACTGCTCATCAGGCGCGAACGAGATGAGTCTCCTCCTCGAGCGAGATCCGTTGTTTACGATGCAAGACGAGACGAGCCAGTGCAGGAAAGAGAACTCGTCATCAGACGTACGACTGAGCGGGACGAGCCCCGTCGAGACGACTTTGAAGTCGCCCGTTACGACGAGCGGAAAGTTGTCGACACCCGATATCGGGACGATTACGAGGTGCTCTCCCCTCGTGGCTACGACGACCGCGATGTTCAACGGTATAGTCGCACAACAGACTACTTCGCTCCTGCGCCCCCGCCGCAGACCATCATCATCCGGCAGGAGCCAATAATTATCCGAGAGCGAGTGCGCGACGACGACTATCAGATCGTTCGCAAGTCCGACATTGACGACGAGCGTAGCTTGGTCCGCAGCAGAGATCCACCACCACGGTCGCCTCGTGGAGAGGAAGACTTCTTCTACGAGAAGAAAGTCAGGGAACGCATTGACGACCGACGAGACGACGATGACTACTACGAACGACGCAGCAGACGTCGCTCTGTGAGCCCCCACGATTCCGTTTCCCAAAGAGGACGTGATTATAGCAGCGACGATAGCATGGTGTATGTCCGCAAAGAGGTCCGCGAGGAAAGCGCCAGCCCCGATCGCAAGAGGGGCCTTGCTGCTGGTGTTCTCGCTGGAGTCGGGGCAGCAGAGCTCCTTCGGAACCATAAGAGAAAGGAAGGCCAAGACGTCTCGCATGGCGTCGGCCGTGTTGGGCGTGATCTTGGTGCGGGTGCCCTTGGAGCTCTCGCCGCCGAGGGCATCCATCGAGCAAGGTCAATGCACCGCAGTCGAAGCCGCCGCCGCCACTCGAGGTCTCGCTCCGATTCGCGTTCTCGCCGTCACCGGAGCAGGTCCCGGTCAGAGTCGCCGTCCAAGTTGAAGGCCCTTGGCGCTGTGGGCCTCGGTGCTGCGGCACTGGCAGCTGCTGCCACCATTGCAACCAAGCGCATGAACAAGAAGAACAACGACGATGATGATAGGCGTGGTCGCTCTCACAGCCGTTCTCGATCGCGACGGAGGGCTGAATCAGTTTCAAGCCTTGAGAATGACCCAGATGCTCCGTCGGATGATGCTCGCAACCCGAAACATCGCAGGAACACCATTGCCAAAGCTGGTGCCGGTGGTGCCGTGGTCGCCGCGTTGATAGAGCACGCGAGAAGCAAGTCTCGAGCCAGGGACGGAAAGGAGCGTTCTCGGAGTCGCATCAGGCAGGCTCTACCTGTTATCGCCGCTGGCCTCGGCAGTGCTGCCGTCGCTGGCGTATATGAAAAACACAAAGCTAAGAAAGAAGCCGAGGAGATTGTAGACAAAAACCGCCGTGCGCGCTCAAGGTCCAGAAGCAGAGCCAGATCCGAGCACTCTGCTTACTATGACGGTCCACCCCCGCCTCCGACCAACGACCAAAGTTTGGTTGAATACGGAAATACACCCATGTACGGCAACAACTACGGGGCAGACTATTATGGCAGACCCCCACCGCAAGAAGGTTATTACTCCAGCGCGGTCGTTCCCGCGGCTGCGGGCGCTGCAGCCGGCTATGGTGCTCAACGGGGAACGAGGAGCAGGAGCCGCAGCTTGAGCCGTGATCGTGGTGGCAGGAGGGACCGTAGCTCCAGCTCGTCTCCAGATCGCGGTGGGCGTAGACACTCGAGAGACGCAGCTAAGATGACAGCGGCCGCCGCAGCCGGTGCCATTGGAACTAGTGAAGCCGAGAGAAGGAAACAGGAGAGACGCGAGCGCAGAGCACGAAGACGTGAGTCAAGGTCCATCCTAACATGGGAGTGCAGCTAACGTAGCCTAGGTCAACAAGAAGAAGGATATGGTCGTGATCCGTATGAGGACAACAACTACAATCCAGGCGGTCAATATGCACCAACACCACCGCCTCCAGCTCACGACCCTTACGCTACCCAGCAAGGATTCTATCCGCAATCAAGCCAGTTCCCACCGCCACCCGGCTCCATCCCACAACAATACCCGCCACAAGCTGGACCCGGTATGGCACCCCCTCCGCCAGGGTCCGCCCCGTACGGTCAACAAGGTTACCCACCTCCTCCCCCTCCACCAGGCGCTCCGCCGCCGCCGGCTCAACCCTACGACGCCTATGCTTCTGGTGCCAACCCTTACGCACCACGGGGTCCTGAAAATGTGAGTGCTGAGCCGAGTCCTGTATTTGGCAATCCTTTTGCACCTACCACTCCTATGAATGACCCGAACCATGTCCCAGATGGTATGTCATAGTCGTGTAGCTCCGCAAGATCCCGCCGATCGATCCCCTCTCCACCGGCTGACATGAAAGTTGCGTGTATAGGTCTAAATCGAGCAGGTCCTGGTCCTTTTCCTGCCGCGCCGCCACCATTCGCCAGTACCCAGCGACCTCCCTCCCCTGCGCCACCCATTCCTGCTCCAACTTCTACCTATGAACCCCCTATTCCTGGACCGTCTCCCCCAGCCACCCCCTCCCGTCAGGAGACGTATCCTCCACTGTCTACTCGGAGTGTCTCTCCTCCGCGCTCCCAATCTCAGCCAGCCTCGACATCTCGAAAGAGTGTTCAATTCGCCGACAAACCCGAGTTCTCTGATGGTGCCCACCTGGAATCCGAGCCATCAAGTCCTGAGCTCCGCCACCGCAGACCTAAGCATTCACATGCCCGCGGTTATGAAGCGGGAGATGACACAGACTCGACACCAGACGAGCTGCAGCGTGGGAACCGGGAGTCTTCATCTCGATCACTGCATCCTGATTCCGCTGACCCAGAAAGGCGAAGACACAGACGCCGACGCTCGCACGAGCCACAATCATCCCGTGGTGGGCCGAGCTCCAGCTCCAAGGGACCAGAACTCGAACGGGTAGCAAGTCCCGCTGACTCCGACGCGACCATCGAGCTGCCTCCCAGGTTCGATGAGAAAGGTCGCAGAAAGACCAGCCCAGGTGACGATCCCCTGGCAGATCGGTTAGAAGAAATCCTTGCCGGAAAAGGCGCTGCGGGCAAACTCTTTGGGAATTTCCTGGATGGGATTTTCGGGCCAGAGGGGAGAAAGAGCAAGGGGAGATAGAATGACTGAGAGGTGGAGGGTATGACCTTATGACAGTGTTTTCGAATCTATCTGACGATGAGCATGTTACGAAGACCACGGACGGCATATAACGCCGTTACGAATTTCCTTGGGGTAGAAGGGGGTTTTTGTCAAGACATGGGTTCATTTCTGGATTTTATCATGATGAGGCAACGGAAGCGTTAATTATGATGACGAATGTTCATGATGAGTATAACCTGAGATGTCGAATAGCAGACGCCGGCCCAGATAAACTGATGATTGATTTGCTAAGTTTGTCTCCTTTCTGCACAGCATTTGGACTGGAGCGACTCGTCTTGTGTCCCCCAGGGAGATTCGCCAAGCTCGACACCTGATCATGTCCGATATGAGTGTGAGTGTGAGTGTGAGTGTGAGTGTGAGTGTGAGTGTGAGTGTGAGTGTGAGTGTGAGTGTGAGCAGAACGAGGCTGAGCTGAGCTGAGCTGAGCTAAGCTGAACGACTCTTGCCAGCTCGTCCCGGCATCGTTGTGAGAACACCTACATCCTACCTATCCATGGTCGTCCGAGTATTTTCTTTCCGTGTTTACTCGTCGCCCTTTCACTGGGGAGGTAATCATGTTCTTTCTTCACTGGCAATGATCTTGCCTGCCTGTGGCATCTCGATAAAGGCTTGTACATAATTGACCACGTTGCCCGAGCAGTCCGAGACACTCATTACAGCTATGTACGGAGTACGGTACTGTTTCCTGTCTCCTGTTTCCGGCTGGAAGACCAGAAGGGGAAGGTAAGAAGGGGGTCGACACCGAAGCGAGGACGCAGTCGCAGTCGCAGTCGCAGTCGCAGTCGCAGTCGCAGTCGCAGTCGCAGTCGCAGTCGCAGTCGCAGTCGCAGTCGCAGTCGCAGTCGCAGTCACGCTCGAAATCACGACTTCAGCGAGCAACCCGCGTGAGAACAGCATCATACAGTACCATGGCCCGTCCCATCCTCAAGCTGCTGCTGTCGTCGAGGCGGGGTCTCGGCCACAATTGCGTTCGGTGGGGAATTTGGCAAGTAATTAAATACTTACCTGATGTACCCATACTGCCGATTCCTCTTTTGCCAACGAAGGTCATTGCGCCGCGTAGGCCCTTGTGGTGATGGGAAATGGTCGCGGATGATCGGCGTGGACGATACGGAAGCACTTTGCTCGGACGGGTTGGAATATTGTGGCTCGTAGCACGAGAGGTGCTGGTTCCGAGAGTGCTGGCCTGAAAGTGGTGCTGGCCGAGAGTGCTGGCTCGAGGTGTCTATATCGACTTTGTTTCGAGTCAGTGCGTGCAAAGACAGGCCTTTTAGTGGTGGCGATAGTGGACTCATCTACGGGGGGACAATCATGAATGGCACACTACGCATCTAGCAGTACGGACGTCGGCGCGGTAGAGGAGGAATAGGTGCCTGAAAGGCTGTCTTCACGCGCTGCACAGAACCGGCAGTCTTGTCTTGAAGCGACGTGCTCTCGATTGGTAGCCGATATTATCCTACGTGCTACAGAGTGTTCCACGCCGGCAAGGTGACAGAACATTGCACCTTCGTCAACATTAGCATGTACCGACATTCTCATACCATGGGCTCGGTAGTACAATTGTACGTCTGTATTACAATTACCTTCGTAGTCGTCTTCGTCGTCGTCGTCATCATCATTAGACGGTCACGTCGCCGGCGTCATCATCATCATCATCATCATTAGGTGGTAACGTCGCCGTGACGTTACAGCACGGTAAACCTTCAATCCATCCTTGATCAACTTCCTCGCTCGACCACCGAGAGCCTGTCTGAGGCCTACCACCGCTCCTGCCTCTTCGTATACCCGCTCGCGGCGTCGGCCAGCCACCGTCCCACCTTGCCCACCGTACTTTTCCTCCTCCCCTCTGGCTCCTTTCCCTTGGAGGCCTCGTCCGGCGCTTCATCCGACAGCGTCCTCGCGATCGCCGCATCAGATCGAGTCCGCTGGTTCTGTTCCTCCAGCGCGCGAAGCCGGGCTTTCTCCTCCTCCGCGGGAACAAGATCTTCTTCATGGGGCTGAGAGTGGGAGCGCGAACGGGAGCGCGAATCTGACCCCGACGCTAACCCAGCATCAGTGTCGATATATGCGGGCAGTTCGTCGCCAGCTGGAATGTTGCGCCCGCTCCCTTCTGCGAGTGCATCCTCGGCAGAAGCAGAAGCGGAAGCGGAAGCAGAAGCAGATGCGTACGCAGGCGGACCCCTCCCTTCCCTGCTTGCGTAGCTCTCCGCGGAACTGGGCCCGTATGCCGCATCTAGAGGCTTGAATCCTTTGGCGCGGAGCTTGGCTTCGTCGACGCGCTGACTGTTGCGGTGGTCTGAATTAGTATGAACGTTCTCGGTGGGTTGTTAACGCAAGTTGATGTTGTTTGCCTGGATGAAACGGCAATGGAAGACCGACTTCAGGCATCGCGGCAGGGCGGGGCAGGGCAGGGCATGTGTGTGTCTTGTGTAGACTGAGGCTGGAGCGCATGGGGCATTACAACTTACTCGCGGAGGGATTTCTCTTCTTGGCCGCGCTCCTTCCAGTACTGGTAGAGTGGGCCGCGAGAGTATTCATTTGAGAACAGGGAAGGCATTGCGAAGGATGGATGTGAGATAAAGAGCGACGTTTCGTGAATTGACGAGGCGGCGAGCGACAAGTCGGCGTGCTAAAGAGGGATGATTTCCAGGGGCTGGGGTTACTGCCCGACAATACCGGAGATGACAAGGGCGATGGGGTTTCGATTCAGGTTTGGTCAAACGTCGAGTCCAAGTCCAGGTAAGTGATTCGAGCAACGGCAAGGTAGGGCAAGGTCAAGATCCTTAAGATATAGAAGGTAACTTTAGGTCAAAGAGCAACAAACTCCCTGTCGGCACAAGTCAAGTGATTCACCCCGTAGACCTAAAGCGGTATTTAGGCTTGCTGCAACGAGTATGTATCGAGGGGGACAATTGAGGCGAATTCCGATTTGACCTGCTTTGTTTCTCTGAAAAACAGGCAGCCGCGGAGAGTAAGTCAAAAGAGATATGGTCGTCGCGACTCTTCCCTCTTATAATGGCTGGATGAAGGGTTTCGACAATCATGTAATGGAGGCCGACATTGATAGAGTCACACTAAGGGCACTTCGTTGATAGAGCATATATACTCCGTGTAAGCTGTGTATTACTGTAAGTACTCGGCAACTCCTTGTCGATCAACAGGCGTGAGACCGGTCACCTGCTCGTGTTCACTTTGTGGGGTAAGAGGATCTGACATACACAGTACTCCGTTCTTAGGTATGCAAGGTCAAAATCCTGGAAAATCCCGCGTTTGGGATAACTCGTATTGCCGACGTATTGAGCGTGCCGAGATGCCGATGGATGGTGCTCCGTGTTGGTTGAGAGGAAGAAGTGAGAATTGATTGGCTTGGTGAGCATGCCCGATACTACCATGGACAGCATAGTCCAGAGTGCTTGTGGCTGTGGGCGGCAAAGTGTTTTAGCTTCCATGGATAACGGAGTAAGCCTAAGGCTTTCCCATTGTCCGTGGTATGGTCGAGGATGCCAGATTATATGAAAGCTTGGATGTCAAGCTCGTTGGCCAGATCACTCGGGAGAACACAAATGGCCTGGCCTGATCCTCATCGTATCGTGGCTTGGATATCTGTCTTGGGACTCCTTTGCCTGTCTGTTAGCTTGGGGGACACACTCTTCCATCGAACGGCACTGTTTCACATGACTCTTGGAGGTGATGGCCGAGGATAAACTGGAGATGTTTTGCCGTCGCGGCAAGATACACAACAGCAAATGTAGATACGCGGACGGGGAGTACGAGAGCGAGTCGGGAGGAGAAAGCTTCTGCAGAATATTCTTAGGTAGACTCGAGTGGCCGCTGAAAACCACCAGCGCAGATCCGTCTGAGGTCCATGCGTGCCATGAAAATGGTTTCGCTCGACGCAGCGCCGATCATCGTTGCTCTTTCATAATTGCAGCATTTCGTGCATCGTGCCATCGCATCCCAATGAGAAATTGCAAGTCTGCCCACGTTTAGAACACAAGAGCGGCACCCTTCGTCTTCTTGTCACCACTGTCCAGAAATCACGTCAGTTCATGACCCTCTCATCCGAGCGCAAGGCGCGACGTGAACGTACCCCAGCTCAAAGTGCTTGCATCGCTTGAGTGATAATTGTGCCTTGGTCTTGCATGATGTGCACTCCAATCTCAACACCACCTTCTTGGTTGTCTTAGCCTTCTTGTGGAACACAGGCTTCGTTTGACCACCATAACCGGACTGCTTGCGGTCGTATCGGCGCTTTCCTTGGGCGAATAGCGAGGCCTGTAGAGAGAATCTGTGAGTATCTGGCCAACTGAGTCTCGTGATCGGTTGGAGCGGGAATCTCGTACTTTGCCGGCCTTGTATTGCGTGACTTTGTGTTGAGTGTGCTTCTTGCAAGTCTTGCCTTTGCAATAGGTGCGGCGGGTCTTTGGGACGTTGACCTGATAGCAGAAGCCGAGTCAGCGTATCGCATCCGGGACATTTGAAGATGCTCGCTCGCTGAACATGTCTCCGAATAGTTTCCTGCGTTTCTATAACACACAGAAGCCTCCCGTTTCAGCGGCCATGTTTGAAGTTGACTATGCCTCTTGGAAATCCTCCTTCTGCGCCGCTCAATTCTTCAAGATATGCCACTGCATCTCTCGGCCAGCCTTTGCTTCTTCGCTTCTCGTTTCGCTTGTGCTGACTACCTGGGTACTGCGCAAATTCCGGATGAAGTGCTGACTGAATGACTCACCATCTTGACGGTTTGCTGGCAATGATCCTGCAAGAAAGAATGTTGATTGTCGTTGACGAAATGTCGTATCACAAATCGACAAGATTGCAGCCCGCAGTCAAATGCCAAGACGCACAGTGCGAAAATGTGGGCGATCACTTTGGGCAGGTGGTCCGAGCCAGATCCACTTCGGTGGGTCAAATGTGCGGCTGCACGGCCTTTGCACGACCGAAACTGGTATCTTGGACGGACAGCTCTAGACGACTACGCAGCACCTTGGAGGGCGACGTTCGTCAGGTTCGGCCTCGCATTGAGGTCAGGCCGGCTATCGGAATCAAGCGATACGAGAAGAGATGGCTAAGGTCGCTTTTGAAGACCTCTCCGGCACTACCACTCCTGCCACACCAAATCCTTACGATGGTCTGATCCTTGCGTGCAACAGTGACCCGGTCAGCTGTGCCGCTGGTTAATTCAGTATCCCGCAGCTAACCATCTGGACAGCAACTCATCCAAGAGCGGTATGCTATTCACCGGCTAACTAGGAATGCGCAACAAAAGGAGAAGATACTGGGCGATGATTTCAAAGGTTGGATCCTTGATGAACATCTTGTCAAGCTTGATGGTCCGCAAAAGGATGCTTCCTACATAGATCCCCGACATTGCCTCGTGTTCTGGGGACGACCGCCTCAGAAAGTCAATACATTAATAGATGTCATACAGTCCAAGCTGAAGGATGCCGCTCCAGGTAAGTCCACGCGCTTCCTCCTGGGTTCTTGCCGCTCACAATCTAGACCTTTGGCTGATGCCACTCGACAATTTGCACATTACGGTTATGGAGGTCGCTCACTCCAAGTCTGAAGAAGAAATAGACGGTCAGATTACCAAACTGAAGGACCACTGCAAAGCGATAGCCGATCACACATGCTCCCATCGAGCCAGGCTTATCAAGCCCCTTCTGAGCTATGACCAGGCAGCCCTTGCACTTAGTTGGGTTCCTGCCGCTGGAGAAGCTCCTTCTAACGGCCGAAGTGCTGAGGATGACAAGTATACGTATCACCATCTGCGCCGAGACACCTATGCCACCATTTCAGATGCCGGTATCGAGGTCGGATCCCGATACGTGATACCTTCCGCGCATCTTACCATTGCAAGATTCAATTCACCCAACGTCTTTGGTGGTGATCCTCTGGACGGGAGTGCCGCCCTCGACCTCAAGAAGCGCAAGCATTGGATCAAGGAGCTCGAAATGATCAATCAGTGGCTGGAAGCCGAATACTGGCCGCAGGAAGGCCAGCCGATCAAACCTGGAGGCCAGTGGGTAGTGGGCGAAGAGAAAGGCCTTGACTTTCGAAATGGCACATTGTGGTACGGCGGGGGCTCGACCATCTATCTGGGTGAAGGGTTCGTCTATGGCGAGGAAAATGATCCGAATGGCATCGCTGGCTGACATCTGGCCACCTATGGCTTATATCCACGGTATCGCTGCGGCAACACGTAATGTGAGAAACGCAGTATACTAACATCTGGTTGTTGAGACTATCTTTCGCCAGCTCTCCCTTTTGCGATTGGCCAGTGCGCAATTCGGATGTAGCATGAAGACCTCGGATATGCATTTCCGAAGACCCTCGATGCTGCCGCCTGTTCTTATGACGCTGAGAATGACGCTGTCTTTGCGTGGCTGCTACTCAATCGCATGTTCAATTTGATCTTGATTAAAAAGCATGACTGCCCCTTGAACTTGCTGCGATCCCTGTCCCTTGCTGGCATCAAAGTTATATACATGGTCGCATTAAGAGCAACTGTTCTATTCTTGCACTGGATTTTCTCCCAGCCCCCCTGCCTCATTACTCTCAGGTGAACAAGACAACAATCTGCAACAACCTCCGGCCATGTCAGACTCGTCCGAAACAGTACAGATCTTTAATCGAGTCGCTCGAGTGCAGTCTGAGGGCGAGTCGCCCAGGATCTTCTATGTCGAAGCACTTGCACGTCAACCGAAGGAGAAGAAAGGCACCATCTTGCTCATCCATGGCTTTCCGGAAACATCCTACCAGTTCCGCCATGTCATGAAGCCGTTTGCTGAAGCTGGGTATCATGTGATTGCGCCTGACAAAAGAGGCCACGGGTATAGCAGCAAACCCGTCGGTGACATCCATCAGCAAGACCCATTTACGAAGAAGTCCCTCGCGCAGGATCTACACACCCTGGTCAGAATGCACATTGGCATCAGGGACAAGATTCATGTCGTAGGCCATGACATCGGGGCCATGGTGGCGCACGCGTATGTCAGCCAATTCCCGGAGCATGTTGAAACCGTCACCTGGGGCGAATGCCCACTCCCTGGCTCCACTGCATACGACCAGAACAAGCATTCCCGCTTACTTTGGCACTTCGATTTTCAAAGCCACCACCCTGATCTGGCGGTGTCATTAGTGCAGGGCAAAGAGCGCATATATCTGATGCACTTCTTTGACCGTCTCGCCCAGAACGTTCAAGGTGCATTTCCCCCCGACGTCGTAGACTTCTACGTCGACCGTTTCAGCATGCCAGATGCGTTGAGGTGTGCATTCTTGACGTACCGTGCCTTTGAGCAGGATGCCGACCACAACCGCAAATGGCGACAGGAAAAGGGAAAGGTCAAGGTCAGAAATATGATCCTGATCGGCGAGAATAGCATCATGGGCATCGGAGAGGCGGACCAAATGGCCAGTGAATTCTACGAGGACCCAACTATGGGCGTAGTGAAGGATTCCGGACATTACGTCTCCGAGGAAAATCCGCAAGGCTTTGTGAAGCAGATTCTGAGGTTCATCGAAGGTTGGCAATGAATACAGCCGGTCACTCGCCAAGTAGGTGAGTTCCAACCACACAAACTCACAGCTCTCCCGCCATAAACCCGGTACAGGGACAATTGCTGGTGTGTGGATGTGAGGAAGACTAACGCATTTACAGCCTTTACAGACGCCGGCTAGCTCTTTTAGTAAGCCAACGTGCTTGCGAAGCGGATGTCGGTGATCGTGCCTGGCTCCATAAGCAAGGCGCCACCCAAAAGTCGTGCCTGTAAGGGCTCCATGCGAGCACCGCCTATGGGCGAGGCCCAGTTCATTTGATGCAGCTTCCATTTCAAGGCAGCGTGACAGGTCCCTGCAGACCGCTGGTGGTGAACATGGTCGCGGGCACGATGTTGGCGCGGGAGTTCGTTTGCTGGGGAACGCTCGGGCCGCTGGCCGTCAGAATACATTCCTGGCCACCCTGCAAAAGAAGCTTCTCATGACTCGGTGCCAGCAGTACTCCCCGGCCCTGCCGTTCCCGTAGGATGGCGATCTCTGAGGCGAGGTCCGCAACTACTTCTTTGAGCAAGCCCACCCGTCTACCCTGGGCTAGATAGGACTGCCACAGATCTCGGTGTCGAAGGTGGAGCGCCAGGATCTGTTCCTGGAGCCGCAGAATGTATTCCTCCTTACGTTGCCGGTATGCCTGCTGAGATTCGCGGTTTTGTGCTCGTCGACGCTGGATGCGGTAAGATGACTACCCGGCTTACATGGGATCTGATCAGTGCTACTCACCAATCGGGTGGCCTCGTCGACCTCGCTCATGCGAGCTTTGCGTCTTCGCTGTGATGACAGGGCATCGTCCCCAGCGCCCCAGAGTACGCCATCCTCTAATCCACCGATCGCCGCCGTTTCTGACCCCGATTGACTCCATTCTGATGCCGTCTTTGCATATTGGAGGCTGTCATGAGCCAACAAGCCGTCGAGCAGAGTCCAATCCACCTGTTGCGTGGTGCGCTGTCAGCCTACACACGAGACGGCAGTAAAAGCGAAGGGAGGATGTTCACGATCTTACAGGTGTTGACCACGCTGTCGCCAAACTCGTGTTGCTTGGTTGTAACTGTTCATGCTGCGAGGTCATGGCGTTATCCGTGGCATTCCAGCTTCACGAAAGCGAGACTACAAAATGTCAGGAAAGGAGTTTCTGGCTTTCAACGGGCGGCAGCATATGCTTGTTCTCGCTCTGAAATCACTATGTTACCCACTCAATCGCACGAGGCGTGCGAGGATACGCCATCTCCTATGCCTTGTCGTGCCTGTACCGTCCCGATGCTGAATGGCCTCTCATCCGACTCGATCGAAGCATCCAAGCATACTCTCGCTTAGGACTCTTCTTTGAGATGGTGCAGATGCCCAAGTGAGAATGGCTCAAAGCCACCGATGCGTGCGGCTGCAGGGCACTTCGAGGCTGGTCCTCGGCAGCCAGCGGCGCTGGAGTTCATTGGCAGGTCCTCGTAGGGGTGCGACCAAGGGAGGCCATTCCTCTTCCCAATCAGCCGGTCGGGTCGAGGCCCTCGGTGCAATGGGCAGGTCTTGCCATTTCCCACTAGAACTTATAAGGCTTGAGCACGGAGTGTCCTATTGTTACGAGTATCAGTTCAGCCAGTCCGGAGTATGCTGTGTAGATCATCCCTGGCTCGCGCAGTGATGTGTCGGAAGAAATCTATCTGCCGTCATCTGGCTGCTGAGTGGTCCCACGCTGGACTGCCGATGCTCATGGATGAGACGACGGCCAGATTCAGGGGCCACGAGACAGTCTCGAGACTTAACGTGAACAAGCACATGGGCACCTAGGATTTCACCGCCAGCTAATAAATGGCATGGCAAAGTATCTTGCCGGTCACCCTCGCGCAGGGCTGGAGCCTCGTTGGTCAAGTGGCCAGCCTTGTGCCTTTTGTGCGTTGTCTTCGATAGGGACTGTTGTAGCTACTAGATCCTGTCCAGGGGTTGCAAAGCGATGTCCGTACACCACCTTGCATACACGACAGGACAATGCAGCAGCTTCAACGCAGTATCTGACCTACGCTTTCCAGCTTTGAGTCTTCACGTGGATCTTCCTTACGAGTCATACTCTTGAGACTTTGACTGGGAGTGCAATGCCACTGGCCTTCGCTCTTTACCCGCGACTGTTCACGCGTGATCCAACCTGGACAGAAAGACCTGCAGTAGCTGCTTTGCATCGACATGCCTCGTTTGTCCCATTCACTCAAATAATATCTTCGCGATCGTTCACTTGAAAACTTTGCGGCCAGCCTGGTCTTCACTTCACCCTCCTCACTCCATGACGGCGATGCTTTCCGAGCTTCCATAACATCCAGCGACAAGACCATGATACAGGATTGAGAGTCGACCTGGTCCGACTCCCGAGTCGTCCTCCTCCCTCGCCATGTCTCACGCAAGTCCCCCCTCGGTTGGCCAATCACCCCCTCTGCAAGTTGGCTGACCGCTGACCGGTCCGGCTGCGGCGCTGAACCTCGGCATCTTTGCGATCGGTAGCAACTGCGACGGCTCGATTCATTTATCTTGACTGTAATCCATTTCTACCGTGGTCCCATTTGTGCGTTTGTGTATAGAGTAATTGAGTGTTGGGTCTCAACCGTGTGCAAGACTGGATATACATACTTGTACACACGTATCTCAGGATCTTCAGCGACGCATCACCTCTTCAAAGCTCGCCCGAACCCCCCCGCCTCTGTTCCTCCGCTTCGGCGATAGCCACCGACGGCATACGACTATTGTCGACGCGCTATTACACGCTCTAGCAGAAAAAGACCCAGGCTTGTGGGCGCGGCTTATACATTTTCTGGCGCTCTATTCCCCGACACACCATGTCCAAGACATTCAGCCCCGCCGACGTGGCGAAGCACACGGCCACGGCCAGCGACGGCCAGTACATCATCATCGATGGCACCGTGTACGACGTGACGAACTTTATCGACGAGCACCCTGGCGGGGCGAAGATCTTGAAAAGAGTCTGCGGTAAGGATGCGAGCAAACAATTCTGGAAGGTAAGCGACAAAGGGGCGCTTCGTTGGGTGCGTCGTTGCTGGAGCTGGGCTGACCTGACTGGGCATGTACAGTATCACAACGAGTCCGTGCTCAAGAAGTATGCGCCCAAGCTGAAGATCGGCACAATCGGCGAGAAGGGAAAATTGTAGGGCTGTGCGGCTGGGGGAAAGTTGGTTTACGCCAGCGGGTCAAGACCTAGGAAAGGGAAGCACTAGGCTAGAAGAAAGCAGGCGGGCGGCCACTGTAGTGCATGTGTCTGGGTTTCAAGAATACGAGCGTCAGGGCGGCGGTGCGCGATACTGTACAGAGCGCATTGCAAGGAGCAGGGACGAGCGAGGCTCCGTTGATATACGATGAAATTGGAAGAAGAATGATTCCTCGACCGATCTCGACATCTTGTGGCGGCCCAACGACAATGTGTCGAGGCGACAGTACATACATCGACATACACGTATAATAGACACACCCTCACGGTGCAGGAGAGTAGCATCGCGATGGACGTACGTTGTGGTATAGTGAGTTGCCCGCCCGCCAAGCCGCGTCGCGCGCATTCGGAAGTATCAAAGTATTTTCAACGGAGTCGATTTTTTTTTATGGATTTTTCTGCTTGACCTCACCCTTCTCCCTCCCCCGATGGATTCGTACAGGAGGCTGTTCTGCATTCCTACGCAGTCTGATCACTAGCCACTAGCCACTAGCCACGAGCCACGAGCCACGAGCCGCGAACTGCTGTACCAGGCCATAAGCCCGGAACCAACAACGACTACTTACATACAACAAAATGTCCAACCCACCACCTCCCGTGGCGGCGACGGCGGCAGCGGCGCCATCCTCTCACAGCTGCAAAGTCATCCTTGCCAACACCATTGCTAAAGTCCTCGTCTCGGAGATCCAAGCCGGATTAACGGCATTGAACCACCAACGCCAAAGCCAACACCAGCATGAACATGTACCACAACCGCCCCATCTCCTAGGTATCCTGGCAAACGCCGACCCCGCCGCGCAAACGTACGCTCGCTGGACGGAGAAGACGTGCCATGACCTCGGCTTCGCCTACACGCTGCTGCAAGTGGAGAAGGATTCCGTCGAGGAAACCATCCTGGCCGCCAACGCGAACCCGCTCTACGACGGCATCATCGTCTACTACCCCATCTACGGGGGCCGGCAGGACCAGTACCTCCAGAACGTGGTCTCGGTGGACAAAGACGTCGAGGGCCTGTCGCACCTGTACATCTTCAACATGTACCAGAACGTGCGGTTCTTGGAAAACGCCGAGAACCCGAGCGCCGCGCCCGCAAGGAAGAGTATCCTCCCGTGCACGCCCCTTGCGGTGATCAAGATCCTCGAGTATCTCCACATCTACAACCCGATCCTGCCGTACGGGAACCGCCTGTTCGGCCGCACCGTCTGCGTGGTCAATCGGTCCGAGGTCGTCGGGCGGCCGCTCGCGGCGCTGCTCGCCAACGACGGCGCCTGTGTCTACAGCGTCGACGTGTCGGGGGTGCAGCAGTTCACGCGCGGCGAGGGCATCCGGAAACGCAAACACGAGGTCGTCGACAAGGAAGGCTGGACGATCGAACACTGCGCACCTCTATGTGACGTTGTGATCACGGGCGTCCCTGGCGAGGCGTATAAGTTTCCGTGTCACCTGTTGAAGGAGGGGGCCGTGTGTATCAATTTTTCGAGTGAAAAGGTACGAATTACCACCTGGTTTCCTGTCTCGTCCTGTCTTGTCCTGTCCTGTCTCGTTCGCCCTGGTTCGCTAGTGCTGTCTTGACGATCTTTCTCTGACTGAGCTGATTTCCTTGCCTAGAACTTCCCTCCTGAAGTCAAGGAGAGAGCATCCATCTATGTCCCCGCCATTGGCAAAGTCACCATCGTCGTGTTGCTGCGAAATCTGCTCCGCGTTGTACAGAACCGGCAGGCACAACTGCAACTTGAACAGGAGCAGCGATCCGAGGGTCGAGATGCGTCCCATGGGGTGTCTTCCCCATTATCGAACACGAAAACACAGGCGCAACCGGAGCTTGTACCTGCGCCTACAGATATGTCAGCGACAACGATGAATGGAGTGGCTTCGTAACTTGCAGCCTTGACACCTGATCAACCTCAATATGTGCCGCTGTGCGCGACCGAGCTTGGAGAGTCTTCCTTGCGGCCTGGAGCGGCAGTGCGAGGAAGACAATTGTCGAAAACTCACAACGTTGCAGACCGTCACAACCTTGCACAGGCGAATGGTATTGCAATGCTTAGACACAGCCTTAAGTCCACTCGACCCACCGCCATCAGTGGCTATGAAGCTTAAGGCCACCTACGGGACGATGGCAGGGAATTCCCCATCTGTCTCTAGGAGTCGAAAATTGGCATCTCACACCCACCAAGGCTGCGGCAAGAAGGAGAGTACCAAATCAGCTGGATTAGGGGAGGCGGTTAGAACTGCAAGAACCTCACCAGCAAAGTCGACAAGGGTCTAGTGCCACATTCACCATAGCACGAGTCGAGGGATATTGTCGAGCAAGCACACGTCGTTCTCCTACAGCGTTCGAGATACATGCTCTCCTGGTGGTGGAAAGCACTTTGCGTACCACACGTCACCATTGCATGGTCTCATACCATGAAGCTGGAGAAACCGATCCAGGACTTCTTGACACTGCCGCACCAAGCCGATGCTTGCACTTCTGGGGAGATCGCAAAATTACCTCGTGAACCAGTTTTGAAACGCTCCGGCGTTTGCAGCCACCAAAAGAGGTTGAATGCCCAGCCATGGCGCCGGTCCGCAACACCTATATCAGCAGTCGGAAAGAACCATCGCCATCTAAGCTATGCTCCGCGTTCATCTGTACGCCAATATACACCGTGGCTAATTGCCTGTGTTTCCCAAACACAATGGGATTCCACGTGAATAACGTCATCCTCTCACTCATGGAATTACTCTCGATCCCAGCGAGCTGCCGAGACCAGTAGACCGCACACAGGCTGGCAGAGGCCGTTTCCAGTCTCTGCATCGCCGAGAACGTCATGTCCAAACCATCGGTACAGTGGAGAAGATTCTTGATGTCGACCTGCACGTACAGATTGATAAGTCTTCCCACGGTGAGTATTGTCTTTGGAATGGCGTAGAACCACGTCAAGGAGGTATTCACGGAGCTTTTGGCTGCGGCTACGCATCAGCGCTATAACATTCAAAACCTCTTGCACATTCAGGTACAGGATGCGAAGATCCTTGCAGCCAGGGATTCAAATTTCGCTGTGCCTGGGCTCTTGGGAACAGAACATAGGGAGATACCTGCTTCCAGAGATGCAAACTGTCGTTTGACCCACCTTTGCGGCACAGGTCCAGCGACGTCTCCGACAGTCCCATGACGGCATGCTGAACTTCGCAGTATACGACGCTGCTAAAATATTGGAGGTCCGCGGACGAGCCCGCGGAGAGGACCTCATTGTGACATTCGAAAATATCCTCCAGCATGGCAACATGATAGTGGCAGGCGACCTGATCACCTAGGGCACTGTCAGGCCAAAGATAATAAACAGAGCGCGTTAGGGGCGGACGATGTCGATGTGTGGGCGAGGTCATGTGTTATTTCAGAGAGACGACCCTCTTGCGCCGGTACTCGTGCACGGTTATCGAGCAACTCTGGTTGCAATGTGAACACATATCGGTTGGCGGCGGTGCGTGCCAGATAGCTATGTATTGCGATACTGTCGAACAGATAGGCTTTGCTCTCATTCGTCAACTTTGTGGTGAAGGCGACGTCTCTGGCAGTGTTCTCTTTCGGCGTCGTGCGCATTTCCAGCTCTCTGATGGACGGGATCACGCAGTCCCTCTGGGAGCCAAGCAGAGAATGGACTCTGGCTCTCAGGTGCACCGGGAGCACATCGAAGGGGTTTGAGTTGTCATTCAGAGGTACGACGTCCAGGAGCGGCGGAAGGGTGCAGATTGTGCTCGACAGGCCGGCAGCAGTGGGTGGTCGAGGTGTGCAATCCCCGGGAAGCGCAAGCCCGGACTCTGGTAGGTGATAAAATTTGGAGGATTCGCGGAGTCGACGAGCTTCTCGTGCTTTCTTCCAGCCACGGTAACCGTGGACACTGCGCGTAACCTGCTGGCGGTGAGTCAGTGCACTTAGACTGCTGGCATCGACATTGACGAACGAAAACTCGCCCTGGAAGACCGGATCAGATGACGTGGTCAGGAGCTGCGGACCTCATCAACGCCGACCCAGCAAATAATGGGTTTAAGAGTGTTTCTGACGGAAAGATGGTCGAAGCACGGAGACCGGAAAGTCGGATATCTAAAGTGGGATGGTGCTGGCTGATGGGTGTCCCTCAGCACTTGCCCGAAACGAAGAAATGTCTGCTGGACATCTGTGGAAGCGCTGACTGCGTCGACACGTACGACCAAGAAGGTCGTCGGCACGAGCATGAGCTCAAGGGCCGGCCGACCAACTACAGCCTCTCCGGGATGTGTGGCTTTTCTAGGCATATGCGAGGACCAAGCCTCTCCAGCTTCCCGTGGATGGAGCAACTGCCCAAGCAGGCCAATGTCGAGCACCCCCTGCGCTCGTCGCTTGCGCACCCACTTGCTTCCCCGGGAGGGAACAGGGAACACGGCCTAGGGTCAAAGCTTGGAGGAGAAACGAGATGCGGGCAACATCCAATCCTCAAGGGGGAGTAGTCAGGGGGGCCAGCTTAGTCCCAAGTCCATAAGGTACTTATATCGCGCGTGCTTCCGTCGAAGATTCTGTGGTCAAGATCTGGTATGTGAGATACGTCTTCTGCCCCGACCGGCTCCGGGCCACGACTTCGAGGCACGGACAACCTGCTGGCGTGAGACACTCTCGAAGCCAGCTCATCGTGCACAGAAGACGATGCTATACGCAAGGGAGCGATAGACACACTCTCGAAGCCCGCTCATCGTGCACAGAGGACGATGCTATACCCAGGGGAGTGATCGACACACTCTCGCTCAGCATGGATATGGGGAAAGCTGGACCGGGGTGTTCAATTACGCAGTATAGACTGAACAGTATCTTGGCCTCCGAGGGCAGATCAATCGCTTTTCTCATACGGACTGGGCTCCAGAGACAAACTGTGACGAACACATCATCAAGACCATCATTGAAAGAAGCTCCTCTCGTCGAACACAAGGCAGGGCTTCCTTATTCCAAGCGAACCAGAAGATGCTGGCAGATTGCCGTCCAACTCCTTTCATCATATTATACATGTGCTCGACTTGCAGCCAATTTCGTCATTCATAACAGGAGTGGCACTCGATGCCGCTTTCAGAGAATGTGAAAGTACATGAAAGCTCCAACCACACCTCATCTCACGGCAAATTGAGGAGATCTTCGAACCCGGGGAGGTTCTCGCACGCTGGCAACTGCAACATGTTGACTCGGATGGGTTCGAGATTTCGACTCACATTCTGAGTCTCCCCAAACATGGTGTGTGGATTGCTGGATGGCTTCAACGAGAACGAGAATGAAAACGCGTCAAACTGGTCGAACCCTGCCTGACCACCCGTGTGCTGTCCAGGTTCGAGGCTGTCGGGCTCTCGGTCGGCTTGAGTGGAAAACGCAGCGATTTGCGCGTTGAGCTCAGCGATTCGGCCCTTTAGCTTCATCACCGCTTCGGACTGCTGAGAATACGACTCCAGCAGCTTGCGGTGCTTGTCGCCGATGGTCTCCAGAGTTGCCTTGAGGCTGCGGAGGTGTCGTTCTTTGCGCTCGCGAAATGCACGTTGAGACGCGCGGTTCTGTGCACGTCGTCGCTGGAGAGCCCCTGAGTTAGCATGAATCCGGCACTTGAGGATTAAGAAGCCAAACGGACCATCTTGGTGTGTGATTCTGCTGACCGGTCCGAGTCTGTCGAAGTCGATGTCACAGGAAGGTCGGCGGGCGATGTCACGACGTCGTCGAATATAGATCCCTCGGCGGAGACGCTCCCGCCCAGGCTCACGGCATGAGAAAACGAACCGGGCATACTATCGTGCTGGAAATCCTCCAAGATCTATACACTCGCAGTCAGCACGGGCCTATTTTTGATAAACATCGCCACGCCGACTTACGTGGAGGTCGTCGAACTGACCCATATCTTCAAAGTACATGCCCGATGTGTCAAAGAGGGATCCATTCAAGTTGTTGTCAACGAGTGGGACGCTCATTCTGACGGGGGACCCGGGACCGTCCTGATCGAGTATCACTGCTTCCAAGGCTGACAGGATAGATCGATGGAATGCTGGCTGGGGTTGAACGCGAGGTTTTTGAAGATCGAGAAATGCGTTGATATCGAGACGTGACCATCGAGGCCCCCTCGGGAAGTATGGCTGACTTGCGTCTTTACATAACTAACCACGGCATCTGCTTCTCATTGTGGAGGTAAAAGTTTCTGGCTGGTGCGTCCAAGTCCGGCGTACCGCTGCGCTGCGGTACTACACGATATCCATCCCACGGTAATTAAGTTAGTGCTGGCCAGGCACACGCAGGGCACCCAGGCCACCCCCGGACATCCCTGCAAGCCACATGCTTGCTAGGGGAGCGGCGGTTGACGGTTGATATACGAGTAGCTGCCCGCCAGGTCTTGGCCGCCGCGAGCACGAATCACGACGCAGCTGTGCAATTCTGGACACGGCATAGCTTCATATTCATTGCGCGCCCAGGTCGATTTTCATGCAGGGCAAGAAGCAGACCCCGTTCGTGAATCGTGACTGTTGCAAGCGACCGGAATACATACATATTTGGAATGCTCGGCTTGGCAATGAACCCCGGCGGAACGTGATGATTACTGGTGCTACAGTATTCTCATCGGAGTAAGTGGTTGCGAGATGGGTGATTGATTAGTCGCTGTGCGAGTCCTGTGTTGCGGTCGTCAGCCAGTGGCCAGAGCCAGCAGGCGGCGAACAGCAATGACAGCGGATGGCGGACTGCACATTCCCGCAAATTCTGTGCCTGCTCCAGCCGGGCCGTCAATATGAACTTATACAGTACAGCGGACAGTGGACAGTGGACGGTACAAAGAAGATAATACTCACCATTGTACGGAGTATTATGTAGCCCTACGGAGTACATCTGCGACCACTGCCAGGTCATCTCGCCTTGTCTTGTTTCGGACATGGACCCTTCTTCTCTTGAATCTTCCATCGAGGCCTGTGGCTTCTACTGCTTCTCGTGCGGTAGTAGTGTGATTCGGACCCGACGATCTGGTCAAAACCCAGCCTACCTAGGTACAGTACGGTAGAGTATCTACGAGTATGACGTCCAAGATTTACAGTTCCTTCTTTCCTGGATGCACTATATCAGATCCGTGAGTGGTGTACCTCGCGAGGTTACTCACTTCTAGGACCTATACCTATGTACCTATATAGATACCTACATGTATATAATACCTACATACCTACACCTGCGTACCTACGTACACACGATGGTATGAATATATACCGTAGCTCATCTCAGGCCGGAGCCGACGATTTCTATACCCATGAATGTACTCCGTACACACGCAAACAACATGCTTACCATATTCCTCACTCTCGCTGTCGTGGTCGTGGTACCGTATGATCAGACAACAGAGCGGACGTCAGGACAGGGGTAGAGGCTCTGTACATATAGTCCTGTATCCAGCCTTACGCACACGCACGCACGCACGCATACACGAAACGCAGTGTTGACGACGTGTTGGCGGGGGAAGATGTGGCCTTGATTATAGACGGATGTCGCCTGCACGCTTGTACAGTACCCCTTTTGCAGGAGCATTCTCGTAGACATGCAGGCGGAGGCAGACTCTCGCGACGTTATCTCCCCTACGGATTCCGTAGAGGGGATTAAATGGGATTTCATTGATGTTGATGTTGACGTCGGCGCAGTCGACCTCGAACTCGCGAGACGAGCCACCCGCGTACTGTGTACGCGAACTGGACCCCTGGTCTAGATTCCCGACAGTGCGCCCAGTACGAGGCGCGAGATTCGTCGAAGCGTGAAGAATGAAACGTGCTCGGCATCGCCGAGGCCAGGTCGCTTAACTACAGTACACTGTACTAGGTGTTTACTAATGCGGGCCAGGGCGGGACTGTACTGTGGTACTCGTACTCGTAGCTCGTCGGTGACCTTGTCTATACTGTACTCGTACTCGTGCATAAGTCGCCTGTGTTCGGTACTAGGTAGTGTGTACTTATGTACTTACCCTGTACCGGGCAGCGAGTGAGCCAGAATGCTTTAGACGCCCCAGCACATGGGAACCTGCATGCACGCCACGCATGCAGGTTTCTTCTGGAAGACGCCCACCGGGGCAATTCTGTGAGCTGGATCGGGCTGAAGAACCAAGCCTGCACTTCAGATTACTTGATATGTTATGTCAGTATCATTCGTATCTTGGGCGTGTGCTGGTACCGGATTGGAGGCGAGGGACCCCAAGGGACCCATTTACCCGATCGGGCAGTTCGTGTGGTTCCACTAGGTACAGTGGTTCCTACCTGTAGTCTCTAAATCAGGCGGTACTGTGGTACCTCACTCGCTATATGCTTAGTATTGAACCCTTTCTTAGGCTGGCACGCACAAGCTTTGCCAGGCCAGCGCAGTGGCTCAAGGTCTCCTTATACTTTAGCCTCCACACGGACGCGGTGGCGGGCCAACGCCTGGGACTGTTCGTGTACGTATTGGCGTGTCCTGTATCTTGTTCCTGACGGTGTACGAGCCGCACACCAGACATGGACAGTTCCGCTGGCCAAGTATTTCGAACGGCCTACCTGACGAAGATGTTGGCGAGAGCGTGGGCTAAAGAGCATGGGCTACGTCAGCTTGCCTTGTCGAGGTTATAGGCTACCCTAGGTTAGTTAAGGTCCGGTCGGAAACCTATACCTGCGGTAGTCATATGGACTACGCTTGTACAAGGAGAGCACGAGAGTCGGCCAAATACCAAGTACCTTGCGGCATTCTTCCACTGCTTGATCATGACCCGGGCGGGCTGACGGAACCCTACTACTCGCACATGGCACCTTTCGCAGCCTATCGGCCTGGAAAGCGAATAAATCTTCCATCCAATGCTGGTGAGATGTCGAACCTTAGTCAGGGCGTTGTCTTAGTGTACACCCCGGTGGTTCTCCATCTTGCACAGATGTTCCGTCAGCGTGTCTCGTGTGACTCAACGCCGCGACCCCGTGCAGCAAGAACTGCCTCTACACCCGAGAGACGTGCCTGCAGGGTACCAACCATACGGCATACGGAGGCGTCTGGGAGATTGAGGCTTTGCCTACTCGTCACACTCCACATCTGTCCTCTGAGAAGCATGCCGACACCGATGTAGCCGGTCGCTTGAATATGGTCCCCAGCGTCACTTCGATCGGCGTACTTGCGGTATGACTCGGCCACTTCTCATGGTGGGTTGAGGATGCGCGGATACCGCCCTGCAAGAGGAAGGTAACGAAGCGACATCCCCACTGACCACGCCAACGCCCAGTGCTGGACGGAGATATCGTCAAGGATCCGCAGACGGAATGTACATGGCAATCGGGGCGACCGCCATTCTCTTGATAAGCATACGACTGTGTACTGTACAATGCTCGAAACACACCGGACTCCACTGCCGCAGAGCGATTGATAAACAGTCCCGGCGCTCTTGGCAATCGACCACCATGCACGGGAATGTCTGGAGTCTGCATAGAACAGCGCATTTAGTTCAATTTACCGCGGAAAAAGGGGCAGAGGGGCCTATCTCACGGGCAGTCAGTAAGGAAGCAGGACGTTTGTCCCGTGCAACTGCGACACACCACTTTCTCTCCCCGAGTCTCGCTTGATAAGCCGTCGGTACTGAAGCCTAACACGATGGCAAAGATTGCGCGGTAGGTTGGATGTACGGTGTGAATCGCATCTCTTGGCTCTGTGGCTGTTCGTTAGCTCTGGGTTCTAGACTGAAACAGTCGCTCCGTCCGTCGAGCCCATTGGGAACATGGAGAAAAAGAGAAAAGCATGCTGCAAATATGCTGTTCGTGCTAGTAGATTCACCGCCGCCGGGGCTCGAAAGACGCTTTCGAAATGCGACAGTAAGTCACCCGAAGCTTGCAGGAGGGGATGTGATGTTTTAAGAGGTTACATAACTCCGGCTGCCCGTCTCGTGCATATGCATGCATGAGAACGAGCTATCCCGAAGCAGAAGCACCTCGGGTTCATTGACGTCCAGCCGTCGCGACCGGGGGGTGGACGCTAGTCGACAGGGTGAGATCCAAGCCGGAGTGACAGCTGTCTACCGTATCAGCCAACATTGATTCCAGTCACACACAGAGGCAGATTGCCTCCTGAACCAGAAAGTCTTTCTCGTGGGCAGCTTCATCAAATCCAAAAGCAGTACTGCCACCCCACTACTGCCTCGGGCGAAGGAGATGAGGCACCGAGATTGGCTAGGCAAGGATATCGACATTGCGAACAGGGACTTTGACGTCGTGATTGTGCCAGCTCGGACAAAGGCGACGGCGACTGGGATGGAGATGGATGCCGGTGGCAGCGTCACCGTCAGTCAATGTGATACTGTCGAAGCTACTCTCCGTGATCAAGGTTGGCGCCTTTCGAGTCGGGAATGGATGTCTTCCGGCCACGATCGAGCACTAGTATCGTCGTGATGTCTCGAGGCAGCGCGTGCGGGTCATTCGAGTCGAATACAGCATCCTGTACATGTTACCTGCGGCCACGTCCCTCCAACGGCTGCTGGGTCTTGGTCTAAACAGCAGATCCCACTGGTCGTGGACCAAGTGTACCGTGATGATTCCACCAACGATTGCGATCTGAGAAGCAGCGTTTACCCATGTCGACTCCTGGCGATGGCAGGTCATAGACCACACTCTCTTCAAATGCACTGAGCTGCATGTCCAACCGCCAACATGGACAAGAAGAAACCCCTTCTGTTCGTCTTGCAGGACAACAACGATCCTCGGAAAGGCAGGTGGATGCCACAGTCATAGCATCACATATTTCGGCTCGATATAAGCCCTGGAGGAAGACGAACCGCAAGACCTTGGCTCTCGATTCGACGACCAGAGCAATCTTGACGTCGAGGCAGCCAGGAAATGACGATGAAGCTGAAACGCCGCTGAGGAGGTCGAGGGGGGAGAAACAGCAGCAACGTCCTGGTTTCATGAAAAGAGCCCGTTCAAAGATTCACTGGGCGAAGACACGTCCTCTTGATAGCTGAAAGACGGCACAACCAACACCGCCATGAAGAGGACGTGTCTCCTCCCCCGTGAATCTTTCCGAACCCGGCCGACTTGTCGCCGACAAAGGCTACGACCCAGGGTACATACCCTTCCAGCTTCCGCAGCTCCCAGATCTTTGCTTTTGATCCTTCCTTCCTCGAACCCTTCACTCCGACAAGCATGGATTTCAACCACGAGATCAGACCAACCCTGCACTTCTACTTCGGACTGACCAGGTCTTACGCCCTGGATCTAATAGACGGGTAGGATTGGATCGACAGGCTTCCTCTCATCCAGGCATCACCAGCCCTGGCTTATGCTGTCGCGGCATATTCCTCCCTCTTCCTGTCCCTATGCCTAAACAGTGGGACTGGCGTTGTGCTCCCACCACCGGCAAATGAATCCCCCCTTGGTTCCACCTCCATACTCGCTGTCTTGCCGAGCTGAACCCGGTACTAGCTAATCCGCCAAAGGTCGACGACAGCCCGACTCTTCCTCTTTCGCAAGGCAATTCTCCTGGCGGACGGAAAGGCGGTACGCATGCACTACCAAGCCTTGGAACACATACCTGCTTTCACTGGGATAGGACCCGCCCTCTTCGGAAAAGGAGCAGTCAACATTGTTGTATTCTTCTTGCATGATTCGTCCGAGTAAGTTGAACGAGGTAATTACAGTCTTCGCCACTATCTGATTCTAACACCCTAGCTGATCGCCCAACAGATTTATGGCATAGGAGGAGAGCGCCCTTGCCATCACCCATGCCGATCCATAGAGCAACTACCATACCGATCCGCAGAGCAATTACGATACCGATCCACAAAGCAATCATCTCGGGGAGCGTCCGTTCGTCGAATGTCGGCGGTACTGTTATCGGATCGCATCATGCCTCTCCCACACTACTTGAACACAACAATCAGTTTCAACACCGCGGCTCCCGAGACCCGCTCCACGTTGCAAAGTCTCCATTCAAGGCGTGAGAAAGTCCTACCCGGGCACATTATTCCACGTCTCGCTGCACGGGGCCATGGCAAGCAGACGCCAGCCAGAACGAAAACGCTTCATCACGCTGCTGTCGGATCTCTACCCGGAAATTCGGAACCATGAATAACGTCTTTGATCGACTGAGCGAGTGTATTGACGCATCCTCCATCATCCCAATCGCGCTCAAGAGTTCTGGGAAGAGAGGTCCTCACGTTGGCGAGCTGCCATTTTCGACACACCACAAGCAAAGGGTCCGCCTGATGGATGAAATACAGGTTTTTGCACGACGCCACGATCACCCAACGCTGGGAATAAAGCGCAAGACGGAAAAATGCGTAGATAGATAGATAGGCTGGTCTATAGGCAAGTAGGTTTCCCCGCGGATACAGACACCGCTGATACGCAGAGCCATCACATCCACACATCCGCAGGGCAGTCTCAAATCTTACTCTGCCCTTTACCCTCTCCTCTCGGCACCTTCCGCTCCACGCCCAGGCTCTCCAGATCCTTCTTTTTGTAGTAATGCGGTGCCACCTCGATGAGCCACTCGGGCTTCAACGGCATGCAACTGCGCATGTACTCTTTGCTCGTGAGCACCAATTCGTGGTAGATGACCCATTTCGGCCGCGTCTCGATCAGCACGCCCGACGGGTGGATGTAGACGACCTGCCCGTTCTTGACGGTGCGATAGCTCTGCCCGTCGCGCTGGAGCCGCGCCGAGTGAGGGAAGAACCCGGCCGTGATGGCCTTCTGGATGGGCTCGATGTTGCTGGCCCCGCCGCACGACTTGGCAGCGTCGACCTCGACGCGGTCGCACAGCCGGGCGAGTTGGTCGCGCACGTCGCGCGCGCGCGTCAGGCTGCGCTGCTGCAGGAAGTTCTCCTTGGCCCACACGAAGCTGTAGTCGCTGTCGACCCACTCGTGGAAGATGTTCAGCAGCGACAGGTGGTCGCCGCCGTCCTTGTTGGTGAAGCGCGCGCGCGCGCTGTCGGCGTGGATCTTCTTGTCCTTGGGCCGGAAGAACAGCGCCGACGCCTCGCCCAGCATGGCGATGATGGACAGCACCTCGTCCACGCACCCGTACTTGTCCGCCGCGAGGATGGCGCGCGCCAGCATCGGGTCCGTCGGGAACTCGGCCATCTGCCGCCCGATCTTGGTCAGTTCCCCGGCGTTGTTGAGCGCGCCGAGCGCGTACAGCTGTTCCACGGCGCGCACGATCGTGTCCGTCGACGGCGGGTCCATAAAGTCAAAGTCGAGCAGGTCGTTGATGCCCAGCGACTTGAGCAGTAGGATCACCCCCGACAGGTTGGTCCGCTGGATCTCCGGCGTCGTGTTCTCGTCCAGTTCGTTCTTGTACGCCTGCGACGTGTACAGGCGGAAGCACTTGCCTGGGCCGACGCGACCCGCGCGCCCCGCTCGTTGGCCCGCCGAGGCGCGTGAGCACGGCACCACGACGAGGGATTCCATCCCTGTGCGTGGGTTGTACTGGTTCTCCTTGACAAAGCCGGGGTCGATGACGTAGACGATGCCGTCGATGGTCAGGGACGTCTCTGCAATGTTGGTGGCGAGGACGACCTTCCTGGCGCCGGCGGGCGTCGGCTCGAAGATCTTGGCCTGCAGGTCGGTTGGGAGGTTGGCGTAAATGGGACAGATGATCATCTCTTTGACCTTGCTGCCTAGTTTGCGCGCCGTCTCTTGCAGGCTTGCTTCCATGGCTTCGATCTCCTCTTGGCCCGTCAGGAACACGAGGATGTCGCCTGGTCCTTGCGTGATGTGGATCTGGAACACCGTCGTGATCGCCGCGGCCAGGTAATTCGCCTCCGGTTGGGCCGTGTAATGCACGTCGACCGCGTATCTTCTTCCCGGGATGTTGAAGATGGGTGCGTCGTCAAAGTACTTCTGGAATTTGCGGGCATCCATGGTTGCAGAGGATATCAGGAGCTTGAGGTCTGGTCTGGCGCGGGCGATGTCCTTGAGCAGGCCGCACGCGATGTCGGTGGAGACGGTGCGTTCGTGAGCCTCATCGATCATGAGGGCCGAATATTGAGAGAGTTCCGGGTCGGTGAGCAGTTCTCGCAGCAGCATGCCGTCGGTCATGTACTTGAGGACCGTCTTCTCGCTGGTGTTGTCTTCGAAGCGGATGGCGTAGCCCACTTCGTTCCCTAGCCGCTTGCCCATCTCTTCTGCTACTCTGGCTGCAACGGACATGGCAGCAACCCTTCGCGGTTGAGTACATCCGATCTTCATGCCACCTTTTGTGAAACCCGCTTCGTGCAAGTACTGTGGCAATTGAGTGGTCTTCCCGCTGCCAGTTTCGCCTACGATGATCAAGACCTGATGGTCTTTCACGGCTTGGATGATCTCGTCTCGGAATTGGTAAATGGGTAGACTCTTCCTCGTCTCCTCGATGCTCTTGGCTTTTGCTTCTGCCGCGTTGAGCCGCTGTTCCATTTCTCTGCGCTCCTTGGTCATCCCCTTGTCCCCCTCCAGCTTGTCCGCCAGGATGAACTTCATTTGCTGGCTTTCGTCGAACACGTAGCCGTAGTCGCCTTCGTCTACGAATTCGGACTTCTTGATCTGGGCCTCGGCTCGCTTGGTTTGCTCTCTCTCCCACTCTTCGTGCTCGGTGACATAGCGTTCTCGGCCGGCCTCGTCGCGATCGACATAACGTTGGTAGAGTGCTTGTTCCTTCTTCCGCTTGTCGATTTTCCCTTTCTCGGTAATGTAGTCTTCCGGCAAGGCATAGCCGTCCAAGTGATCGTCAATGGCCAGCCTCTCCTCCGCGATGCGCAGGATCTCCTTGTTGCGCGCGAATTCCTCCTTCTCCCGCCGCGTCAGGTCCGGGTTGTCCCTCAACTCCTGCTGCTCCTCAGCGACCTGTTTGCGCAGCAGAGCCAACCTCTCGGCTTCCCGCTTCTTAAGGTAGTCCTGACGGGACCGAAGCCTCAAATCCGGCATCGCAGCGTCTCTCGCGGACGCATCGTCTGCCAATGCCCGCCGCTGCGCCGTCGCACTGTCCTTTGCAGCGGACCTGTCTTCCACGATCTTCTTCGCCCGCTCTTCGTCCTTCTTTGCCAACCGCTTCGCGAATTCGTCTCGCTCCTTTCGGTCCCTTTGTGCTTTCTCCTCTTCCGTTTCTGGTGGAGGGGTGGGTGTGGAATTCTTCGCCCGATGCGATGCCGAGCCATCAGACAATTTCACCCGTTTGGACGACGACTCTGGGAATTCAGCCTGCGCGTGTCCATCTGCGTCGTCGTCCTCGGCAACCTCTTCATCGCCCCACCGGTCCTCGAAATCGTCGTCATCCCGGCGTCGACGGTGGGCGACGTTCCTCTTGTGCGACTTTATTCGCGGTTCGCTGGACTGTTCAGACATGTTGAGGGTGAGTGTTTGTGGAAATTCACCTAATACTCAGCGCTGCGGCGATACCCCTGCGGAAGCGGGCCTTCCTGCTTGGCTGCTCTCGACGACCCTGATTAGAGACTATGGATTGAATTGTAGAAACGTCGCATAATTAAATCACTGTTGGGAACGAGTCCGACATTGAGACGGTCGCCTGCGACTGAAAAGCCCAAAAGTTTTCTCCGCACCGACTGTCTGCAAACTTGAGGGGCCGCCTCGTTACGTAAGCGGCAAGGCTACGAGCTGGTAGCGAGCACGACGAGGCTGAGGTTAGCTTGGGTCAATTGGGATACACTGTGGGCAATCGTTGGGAGATTGTGAATCTAATAGCTTTATTTCTATTTGCAGTGGTAGGCTAACACTGCCGGCCCACTCAAGTCTTAGGTATATATCACGTCTATTCATCGTCGTCATCCAGATCATCCACGCCTCTTAACCATGCCGCTCTCGCATCGACAGCTTCTTTCCTCACATCACGCTTCGTATCGTCCAATATATTTCTCAGACCGTGCAAGACCTCCCTCTTCAAGGGAAGAAGAGGGTTTGCTCGTGACCCGCTGGTAGAGATGTATTTGGGCAGTAATGTGAGACATCGCGTCGCGAGCCGACGACTCCTGGGGTGATTTTCTTGTACCGTGGGTAATCCTCCTTTCTCGGACCCTGCCTTGCTGGCCTTGCTCTTCGTCGCTGTGGCGACAGCGATCAGTCGTTTGACGAGAGAAGGAATATGACCACTATCCATCAAGGCCGAAGGGTTATTGGAAATGACGACAGCAAGCGTCTCCAGTGTGGCTATTTTGACTGTTTGATCTGCGATGTCTAGGGACTGTAGCAGAAGAGGAAGTAGAGTAGGCAGCTCTGGCATGACGATCTCGGATGGGACAGACGCCAAGATACCACTTAGAGCTATCAAGTAGTTCTCCTTTTCAAGCGGCGACTCCGACGTTCTGAACTTCTCAGCGATCAGTGGGGTCAAAGTCTGGAAAACACGTTGCGGGACGAGCAGCCGGATTTGGGCCCCATTTTCCTTGGACAAAATATCGTCTGGGGACAAGATGGTTGCGAATCCCAGGGCTGCCTTTTGAGAAACCGAGAGAGGGTATTGCTTTGGACTGAGAAGCTCAACAAGCCGACTGAGGTATTCGTTCGTCTTCGGAGAAAGCCGCAGTATAAGTGCTTTGAACAGCACAAAAACCAGACGGATGTCCAAGTCGCGTGACTCAGTTTCGTCCATCGGTTCGTCTGTAAGGGCTGACAGCTTTTGTGCCAGGATATCTTCAACAAATCCAAGATCAGGTGTCTGCATATGCTTGTTGACATATAGAGCAACTTGGGCGAGCAGTGTCTGTGTTACTGCAGGGTTTTGAGATGTTGTCGCGACTGATATCAGATCATTTATGTTTCTAGGCACTTGGTCTTTTGCCAGGATTGACGACTGAGTGGTTCTGGGTAAGGCCGCGAGCAGCCATGTCGTCAAAATCGTCCTCTGCGGCTGTTCGATCACTTTCGCGAGCCTTTCGTGCTCAATGGCACCTGATGCTCCAGCGAACAAAGAGTAGAAGTTTTCAGCTGTCTTCTGAATGGACTCGGCTGAGGAGTGTCGGACGATTAGATTCATGATCCGGCCTAGCAGATCGAGGACACTCTCGTTGGTAAGAGGTCCTGTTGTTGTCTGGGATATTCTTTGAGAGATGCGGACAACCATGCGGTCAAAGTACGCCTCCAGACTCCCACTCTGCTTTGAGACGGTCCGATTAAGGACATACAGAACTGCTCCGAGAATAGCGCAGGTGTAGGGAAATGGTGCCGGCTGGCTGGTGCCAAAAAGAAGCTCTAGCTTGTTGAGCAGACGTCTCATTAGCGTTTCCAACAACTGTCTTTCGAGGCTGATTTCGGCCAGGCCTTCGAGAACAGAGCCATAATCGCCTGAGCGCGCTTCATCTTCAGAGTCTGGTAATCGCGCCATGAAGGCTGGGAAGGTGATGTCGGAGATCAGGACCGGCTTGAACCGAGATATCTCAGCCAACGCAGTCATGGCCTTCTTTTTCAGTTCGTCTCGGCCGTATGACTCCTCTTTGAGAACGATGTCATCGAAGTATTGGACAAGCAGTCCAATCTCATCGTCTGAGAGCACCGAGTTCATTTTTGAGACTAGGAGAAGCCCGGTGGCCGCAGTCAATCGAAATGACACCTCTTCTTTGACAGTTCCCATGAGGGCTTGGCTGTACAGAGCCACGAAGCTGTCTTTGAATTGACCCACCAGATTCTCACGCCCTTCAGGGTTTTTCTGACTGGGGGAAGACCATGAGCCATACACTTCTATTGAAGCCTCGAACAATTGGTTTGCAATTTCTAGGATTGCCCGTTGCTGGACAAGACCTTGCGAAGCCTGATAGATGGTGAGAAGTGAGGGTCCAATAGCCCCGATCACGATCTCAAACGCCTGTATTGATGCTGATGATACGGCCTTGAGTATATCACCGGACGCCTTTGCCTGGCGTCCTGCGGGCTCCTGAAGGTGCTCCAGGCATTCTTTGTTCACGGGCTTCAGATATTGGAGGAGAGGCGAAGAAGGAGCGTTGGGTATGCTCTTGGGACTCTTGCTCAAGCACGCTGCAATGGCTTTGAGAACACGCAATGCTTCCTCAGCCAATTCGGGCTCCTGAGCTTGCAACACTTCGAATTTGACGGCGTCCCATAGTGGTATGGAAAATTGGCTGAGTGTCTCAGGGTCGTAGTTATCGGCACATGCATACAGGACCTGTAAGCAATCTCTCTTCACGGTGGTAGAAGTGGAATCAAGACGGTCCAACATGTTGGGGAACGTGTACGGTGCCAGCGCTCCGGTGGATGCCAGACACTCACGCAGTCGATCTTTCAGGTCTTGGGCGGTGATACCATAGGGGTCGTTCGGAGGAGGCCGGAATGTGATGGGGAAATAGGCATAGACAGAGTCAAACATGGTCTGTTCGTGGCCCTGAATATCCCATTCGACCATCAGGACCCGGAGCATGGAGAAGATCAGCATCAGATTTCGAGGGTCTTTCTCCCCAGCGACTAGATCGGTGATCCCAGTGAGAGATTCATCCTTCATTTCCCTTACGGCTATGCAAATAAGCGGCACGTCTGCGTGGTTCTCGGAGCAGACCTACCTTTACGATGATGATCCAGAAGCTCATTCAACAGCTGTAAAATGCGATATCTGCCAGCCTGATTGCGAGACTGCAAGTCGGCAAAGTGTCCGAAAATCCTGGTTGAAATCAGCCACGCCCAAGCTCATGACCTGCTGCCAGACAACCTTGAGCCATATGCGGGCAAGTCCCTGGACAGCTGTCGCGTGGCGGTCCGCACTCACGCTCTCACAACTGTTTGCACCATCTCTGGGGTGAATCGGTCCAGGCTCTGGAGCTTAGACAGGCCCTCGATTGCTCCTCCATCTTCAATGCGATCACACAAGAACTGACACAGGACTTGGATCTGTTGACGAGAAAGGTACTTCGGAGGGAGGGCTGCTATAACGGCGACTAGGTACGACACCGCGCGGGCGCGGATCTTCTCGTCGTCATCGTTGATGTACTCGCCCAGCGACTGGACAAGCTCGATCAACGTCGTCTGGCGAGTCTCGAGTTCTTTCTCGTCAGTCTTTGAAACGGTCGACATGGAGGATTTGCAGACTTACTCTGGGCTGTCGACTCTGCTATCCTGGCGGCTTCCTGCTTGTCAATTTCGACTGCGTGCACGTAGTTCCGCGTATCGGACAACGCCATGATACATGTTGGTCACTGCGGCTTCAGAATGTGCCTCTTAAAGAATTCTAGATCACTAATTGCAGGGCTGTAACTGGTGCCCCTCCAACTCCGAAAATTCTTCGCCAGACCTTCCCATCTTGTTGATCTCCAACGCGCTGTCCAACGCGCCCGCCGCGTCGGCGATTCACGCAACTCGAAATCGCTTGAGAAGAAATCAAGGAGTCCAGAGGCTCGACTATTGTGTGCATCTAGCAAACAACGAGTCTCTACGGACACCATTCCCTGCTGCGTCGACCTCTTCTTCTTGTTCTCGCCTCATGAAATGTCTTGAGGCTCCCGGAATCGCCGGATCCACACAATCAGGAGCATCACGATTTTGAATTGATGGCTCACAGCACAGCGATGTTCTCTGAGCTTTATACTCACTCTCAGCACTCCATTTATGACTATGATAAGATCAAAGCTGCAGCACGGAGGATGAGGCGGTATACGAACCCTTTTCGTCTTGACTCAGGCTGTCTGGCGGTTGTTTCTTCGACGAATCACGCATACAATCGACTGATTCAGCCCGGATCTCTTTCAGTCTTGAATGTGAAGATGCTGCCACTCTGCCCTGCACTATACTATACGGTGCATGTGGCAACCTAGCTCAAGTCTCCAGGATCTTGCCCTCGGTGCTGCACAATCCAGCCTTTCCCAGCCCCTTTTCCGGCAAAGCCTGGTTACCGGAGGTTCCCAGCCCGTATTAGGTGACGCGCATGGAGAGAATTTTCAACTCCGAAGACTTCACGGCAGCTTGTACGGAGTAGTAATCAATGCGTTTGCCGTCTTGGAATGCCTCGGTCCCTGACCTCTCCGTTCGAGTCTTGTAAGCGAAGCTTCATGGCGCTACTCCAGACGTTACCGTTTGGGGGCCGACAGCGGCTGGTGGTGGCTGTGCGGCCCATAAATGCTCAGCCGTGCCTTGATCGATATGAAAACATTTCGCTTCGCAACTTCTCTAGAGGAGTCATTCTTCACGATGTCTATAAGCAGCATGAGACAATTGCTGCATGATAAATTGCATCGCCACCAGAAAACAACTTCTTCTGCACCGGAAAACCCGACGCCGATCGAAGACTCCTACTTGCAGTACAGAACTTCCAATATGCAAGCAATCTACAAGGATTTATATCCATCGCCCGAGTCGGATCCAGCAGAGGAAGATGTACTTGTGCACAAGCGCATGGAGGTGGCTAAGTCGGCACCTAGTCTCGAACGGGAGAAGAAATGCTTTACAGCTGTCAACGAGCAGGCAGCCAAAGAACGTGAGGAAGCCGGTGTGAAGGCGCGCGACTTTGCGCATGTTCTATCAGTGGCATGCCGATCAAAATGTCAGAAACTTGGGTAAAGCTCGAGGTGCAGCATGAAAACTCTACCACGTGCTGGCGACGTCCTACGACGCAGCTTCCTGCTCGTATGATGTGGTCCCTTCGACATGACCAAGCCTGTAATTGCTTTACGGGACATTTCTGGGCAGATCTATTCCGACAGCTCGAACCGAGTCCCTACGACCACAGTGATGTTGAAGGAGCGCCAACTTTATCCGTGGCTTGTGACACTCAGCACGATACACAGGCTGCTTGTGCCACCGTCCCGCCATATTATCACTACGTGGATCACCTGTCCATGGCAGGCAGCAAGGTGATAGATTATACCATGAGGTCCGAGTCGATGGCCTTTGACACTATGGCCTGCGTCACTCTAAAGTCAGCGATATTGTCAGTCTACACGACAGCACTACAAACGGGTGGAAAAGTGACATGGGAAATGTCCTATATGAGCAGCCCTTCGCTCGCCTCTTGCTTGGTGCAGGCATCATACTCAAGGACGCATAAAAAGATCTACACCGAAAGCATACTTCCAAAGTTCTACCGAAACTCTCACGAGTCTTGCAAATGTCTTCCAACTCGAAGAAACCATGGGAATCAAAGAAATGGGATTCTCTAGGCTATCCCATCAACAAGCATCCCAACCGGACCTACCACTATCCAAGCCGTACTGAATTCGACTCCAATACGGGCACGTACAACGCGCATCCTTCATATTCAAACGACAGAGCTGCGCGAGACCGTGAAGCCGCCACGTCCTCAGGCCGAGATTTCGCCTACTCGAGCAAAGATCCACGACACGAGAGTTCGCAGAATCATGGACCTAGAACGAATGACCAAGCTGCGAGGGATCGCGAGGCTGCAAAGTCCGTAGGCCGGGACTTTGCGTACTCGACGAAGAGTTCGCGGCATTGGGACTCGAAGACCGGGAGATGAGAGCGTAGCGACCTCTAGAAGCCGATCCTCAAGACGAGATCTGAAGCCTGTCTGAGCGTTTACATGTTAGAAGTATTAACACATCATGGTGAGCAACACCTGTCCTTCCGAGTATCTTCAAGTGCCAGAAATGTTGTGTCCTCCGTCTCACTCTCTCGCATCTTCTCTCTGTGCCCGAATCCTCCTTGAAGTGATGGCGGTTGGGATCTTCCGACCTGCAGGCCACTCACTAACCACAGTGATGCTGTTCTCGCCTCCGTCTGACCATATACGGGGTGAGAAACAGGTGCCAACGCCGGCAAGTGCAGAAAGAGATCCTTTACCTCTTTCCATCTTCTTCTTCTCCTCTTCTTCAATACCTTCAGCCCGGAAACGCACAGGAAAAGATCTTACGAACCGCATATCCAGCGAATCGATCAGAACGACACCATCATCTCCTACCACAGCCATATCCACAACCTTTCACGACACCACCACAGCCCTATTCCACAACCTCACGCCATGTCAACTCCCCAGCACCTCTCCTTCTACTACCGCACTCTTTACTCTCAGGCTCCCAGTGGTGCGACTATCCTTCCCATCGCCCATTATTCAACATGCGCGGCGACAGTCCACCACCCGAACGTGACTCTTGACAATCGTCTAGCCGCACAGAGCCGTCACGCCGCGGGCATCGCAACCCGCGACTTCGCCTACCAGGCCCTGGCATCCTCACCATTACAAGTGACTCTAGCGACCTCTAAGATAACGCCAGCGTCATCCAGAACGTGGGTGTAGATCATCCCCATGGTTCCGTGTGCTGTTTATATCGGGAGTGGCAGTCCCCATCTAAATCGAATGGGTGATCGGAGAGGAACGGCGGCGCGGCGCAGTGCAGGCTTAACCAGAACACATACACATACAGAGTGTAGCTGGCGTGGGCGGCGTGTTTTGTCGCTGGTGAATACTCCGTAGTGAATAGTGATATATGCACTTTTGGTGGCCGACAAATCAACGGATAATTGCCTACTGTACGGAGTACTGTACCTTGGATTGGAGTCCTCGGTATGTAGATTGGCTGTCTCTTTAATTTGGGCGAAAGGTAGAGCATAGAGCATAGAGCATAGAGCATAGAGCCAGATACCCCCAGGGCAGGAATTACAATCAAGGCTGAGTTAATCTCAGAACACCTCTTAATTGTCCTGGAGATGATGTATTGTAGGACAACCTTGGGGCGGTTGGTGTCCTTGATGCTTACCCTGGGTTTCTGTCAATTTGTCCCTCCCGCTGTTGCAGCCTGGTGAGAGCCCAGGTCGTGGTGTCGGTACTCTCTTCGCTCTAGTCAGGAATTTGGTATATCGAGTGCTTGTACCTACTCATCTTGATCTCCTCTGACACGTCGGACGCCAGGTCCACCGAGTACCTCTACCCACTCACCTTGATCTCCTTCATGACTTGCTGAGCGAACCGCTACTGCTGTCGGCTGACCAGGTCGATTGCTTCACTAAAATGATCTGGCGGTAAATGGTGAGATTGTGAAGGCAACTCTACCATCGCCCTTAGAAGGTACTTACTGTGACCTCCTGGTTCACTCCCTTCTCGATCCTGTATGCTCAAGGGAGATGTCAACAGTTTCACTCCCAAAGCTGTTGTCGACAAGACTGCAGAGATGGTCATCCATGATTGTCAAAGCGTTCGTGATCTTCTCGCGTTTGTACAATCCATCGACCTCACCACGGCAAAGGAAGTGAATACAAACGCGGCGAGGTGTGACCACAATGAAATGCCGTATAAAGCTCGTTCTGCATGGCTTCGATCTCGTCCCACGAACGCTCCCCTGGCAGGCTCTAACATCTCACAGACAATCCACATCGCCATCCACACATTTATCATATCATATTTCACGACGTACCATACCATACCATACCCAGAACGTCCACCAACCCCAATCAGACAGCAGAAGTCGGTCGTCGAACATCAAAGCACACTCAAATCCACCATGTCGGACAGATTCCGCGGGTACGACGACGAGTACGGCTACAAGAGCCGCGACCGGGTTTCCAGCGGCGATGCGGAGTACTACCGCAAGGAGAAGAAGTACCACGACGACGACTACCACGAAGACCGTGACCGCCAGCGGACCAAATACAATGACAGCAGCGAGAGCTTCGACCGCGCCTCGACCAAGGGCATCAAGAAGGAATACAAGCAGCTGTGGCCGCGGTCCGGCGACTCCAAGGAGTTCAAGGACTACCTCCGAACCGAGCGGACTGGGTACTTCGATCCCCCGTGGCGCCGCAGCCGTGATGACCAAAAACGACAAGACGCGACGAGAGACAACCGCCACGCCGACCGGGATCGACGGTCGAATCGCATTGAGACAGAGGACTTTGGATACCCCTCGGACAACCTTATCCGGCGCGACTATAGAACCGCGAGGAACGTTCGAGACGATCCCTTCGGTGACTCGGGTGGTGGCGGTGGTGGGAGTAGTCCCGGTCGCGAGGATGAGATGCGACGGGATCGATACTAGCCTTGTCTGTACTTGTATATGCAGCTAGGCGTTACCCTAGTCAGTCAGTCAGCTAAAGTTGCCCCTGCGCTTGTCCGAACAAAGCAGAGCATAGCAGCCACGCGAAGGGGAGCACCTATTGGCCTGAACTTGCTGGCAGTGGTGGCACATCCTCTTTCATCTCCCATATACGTACGCGTGTATATGCATTGATGTCGGGATTGGACAGGACTGGGTTATGTTGAATTGCTGTTTGTGCGACTCCTCATCCACAGTTGCCCAACCTGCATCCGTCCCGTACCCATACCCGTACCCGTACCCGTATTGTTCCTTCCTATCATCTCACCTTCAGATCCAGCATCGGACACGAACTGCACACATATGCATTCACGGCACCGCAGACCGCTTGACCTGTCATACATACTCTGTGGGGAAGATGGGCCGAGGTGCATTACTGTGAGCAGGCAGCCGAGCGGACGGTTGAGCAGGTGGACATGCAGCACAGAGACACAGACACAGGGACAGACAAATAGTCGTAGACGTAGACAGATAAATGTCGAGCTGAGTGACGCTGTAGCTTCTGCTTTTGCTCCGTTCGGTCGTGAGCCGTGATCCGTTGGGACATTTGCCGGGTCGCGCTCGAGTTCGCGCTCACGTCACCAGGGTTCATATGCATACACTGTATGGTAGGAGGCACTGCGCAGGTTGTAACGGAGTACAAGCGTGTTGTCTTCGCGTTCTGTTGGAAAATACTCGTCAAGTCTCAGGCATCCAGAGTGAAAGCAGGTCAGTGGTGAGTGAGTAAAAGGCGAGTGATTTCTGAAACTGAACCGAGAAAAAGGGGCACTTCGATGATGTCATTGCGAGGCTGGGCTGTCAGCCTTGTAGTCCCACGACCCAGCTGTCCTCGTGTACACATGATTACACAGTCACGCACAGTGCAGGATGGTGGGAGCGCAGATGATGAATCGCGTAAATCAGCTCTATCCATTGCATTCCCATGACGCATTGAGACGCGTGGACCTCAGGGTCTATCTAAGCCCGAGGATTTCGAATCTATAACTCATCCTTTGTTGGTACATGAGGCTGCACAGGCCGTCCACTGTCTGCAAGTAAATCAACGCCTTTCTTCTTCCGCCACTTCTCCCATACGGCATGAAAGTCCTTCTCCATACCGCTCTCCATCTGATCAGGCAGGACGACCACGTACTGCACGTAGAGATTTCCAAACTCAGGGCCATCGTGGTCGTGTTCGTGCACGTGTCCACCATGGTAGATGGGCATGCCCTCCCCTTGAACGGTCTCGGTTTGGCCCGGTTGGACGACCTCGCCGCGCTTGCGCGAGAGCTGCACGACATGGCCGTCGAGATGGGTGAGGTTGCGAGTCCAGTCGCCCATCCAGGCCTCTCGGAGGGAGAGCACTTCTTTCCAGTAAAGGTCGTCGTCCTTGCGGCGGAAGAACGTCCCATCCGTCCGTTCTTGTTCGTTCTCGCTCATCGAGGGTTCCAGCTCCGTTACGTAGGCGTAGAGGTTCCCTGCCACGTGGTCGGGATGCTCATCTGCCTCACTCTCGAAGACTAATCTGTGGTTCTTGGGGATGCCTTTATCAATGACAGCCGTGAGGGTCGTGGGGCCGCGAACGACCTTGTTCCCTCCACACACCTTACACTTATGTTTGATGATCTTGCCGTGGCCGCCGCATTGATCGCACGGACTCTGCTGTTGCTGGAAGATGCCAGGCGCGAGCTGGAATCGCTGCATGATGATGCCGTGGCCGTGGCACTTGTGGCACGTCTCGACTTGTCCGTCGGCCGAGCCTGAGCCTTCACACTCCTCGCAGATCTGCTGCTTCTCGATAGTGAACTCGGTTTCGCGGCCCGTGTAGAAGTCTCGAAGCGGTACTTGGAGCCGGACTTCCATGTCTGGACCTCGGCGGACGCCGCTGTTGGCACGGCCGAAGTGGCCAGAGCCGCCAAAAAATCGTGAGAACAAGTCGAAAGGATCGTGGGCGTGGCCTCCCCCGCCACCGCCGCGTTTGTGGTTCTCCAGACCTTCATGTCCGTACTGATCATAGATCTTCCGCGTTGTCGTATCAGAGAGGGCCTCGTACGCTTCGGTGACTTCGAGGAATTTCTTTTCGTCGCCGGTGGCTTTGTCGGGGTGGTACTTCTTGGAGAGTTTTCGGTACGCGGTCTTGAGGTCTCGATCAGAGGCAGATTTGTCGAGGCCCAGCACTTTGTACAGGTCTTCGGCGGCGAGACAGCATGTGAGGAAGGCAAAAATCGGGAGGAGATGAGCGAGGAGCTGGAGGAGGAGCATGTTGGGCGATGAGCGCCCCTCTAGGGGCTGACGGCGAGGATTCGGTCACTCTCTCCAGTAGAATTTTAAGAGCACTTGGACATGGTTCCCCATGAATGAGAGACTGAGGTGACGACAACAAGACCTACCCGGAACCGTTGACTCGTTGTGGTGGGTATCATAGATCGATGGTGTCTGCAGTTACAAGCCAACATGTCAATATTGCGACAGCGCCATTTGGCCGCATTGTACACCGTTTCTAGCGGTATGGCTCGCCGTAGTAGGAAGTGCACTTCCAACTCTCATTGCTTTTGTAAAAATGAACCTCCTTCATGAAGAAGGATTCAGTCGCATCATCCTTCTCATGTGCTTGCGCCACATTTAACAGGCTCAGCCTGTGCAGGAAATCTTTGCAGAATCTGGGACCGACCATGCTGAACCGAAACACGGGTTTTGACCGTGTTCTTTGTTAAAGTGCTCATTCTCGCCAGCTCAGAGCTGTCTCCAAGTGAAAGGCAAGTCTCTTAACCCTAAGAAACATCGCCACGTGTGGTGAGAAAGCCAGCTGCCAGTCCACGGCCTGCGGCTGAGACGATGTTCGATATCTACCTTGTCCTGTCTTTAGCAAAACCGAAACAGGAGAACTGCCTGAGTACGTCGAAGGGGCTGGTCCGCAATTTCCCTCCCACCATGCTTGATTGAAAGAAATGGAAGCCTCTGCAATCGGGCAGCAACAACTGATCAGCTTGAGAATGCACTTACCACAGTGATGTTGAAGCATGCGCCTGTCCTTCATGATTTGACAGGCACCTTTGATCGGTGTGTTGCACACATGAGTTGACAGCTGCGAGGCATATGACTTCTGCCAGACGTCGCGCCCTGGGACTGTGACATTGCAGACGGATGCAGGACTGCCGATTCTGTACGTGTTCATCAGTGTTGAACACTCATGAGCCGTGGCCCATGGTCGCAATTTGGGAATCATCTTCGTCATTGAGGTGGCCGCACCGTCCGCGGACAGTAATTCATGCCTTGTACCGCGGATGCACCATCTAACTCCAGTCAAGAGGGATCACACGAGCTGTCAAAGTATCTGAAAGCCTGCTCCGCGACACACTCCATTCAACGCTCTGCGCTACCTTCTTGACACTTCGCGGCTACAGGCAGCACAGAACGCCTTCAAAAACCCACAACTTCTCACACAATAACCATCGACTCTTTTCACACGACCATCGACCCTTCTCGCACAATAACCATCTACTCTTCTCACCCACAAGCAACGTATACACACGACTTCAGTATGCACGCTCACAAAATCACCACGGCTGGAGCTCTGGCACTCTTGCTGAGCTGTCAGCTGCTGGTCGCCGCTCTCCCTGTCTTGGACTACCTGTGGACTAGAATCAACACTGAGCACTACTTTGCTTCGGTCGAGGACTGCATTGACAACGGGAAGAACTGCCTCTGGCCAGCGTAAAGCTCCAATACCATTTCTGACTTGTCCAAAGCCAGAAACTAACATGTCTGATCAGAATCTCCAACCGAGTGATCGGCTCGCACGAACAGCTCGTCCCGGCGGTGAGAGACCCTGCAGCTGTGTACCCACCTGAGACGCACGCCCTTGCTGCTGTGGCAGCTACTGCCGTAGCCGAAGCTCCCGCCACTACCTCCCCGTGTACACAACACGTCCCCCAGACCACGACCACGCCGGTTCCCGACTTGTGGCTGGAGCTCCAACGCCGCGACGTCGCCCTCGAAGACATCCCCAACAGCGACCACGGTGCTCAGGCTTCTGGCCCGTTGGAGATGCAGCCCTGCTTCAACGGGATTGGGCCCCGATGTAAACCCGGCTTCACCGTGCTGGATCGAGGAATATGCATTTGTCTGCGCAAGCCCAAGTCCACCACCAAGGCGGTGTAGTGATAGTTTGGTTGCGTTTCCAGAATTCTGGGTTGGACCAAGCGGGATGGATGTTGGCGAGGTGCAGATTTCCGGTCCCGGCATCATCAGCCGCGCCGATCTCTTCCCGAGCAACATTCCACGCTGGCACAGAGTTTCCATCGCCTGTACCGTACGGAGCATACGGCGCTAATGTATGGTAGCTGGAGAAGGGGACGATCTGCTAGATTGACGACTGACTACGGGTTTGATCGGTCTGGCTTCCTTCGACACTGGCAGAAGGTGTTCATTAGGAGAAAAAGGACAATCTGCCTGTTGGTCCGCAACAACAGAGGAGAGAGCTTCATTCATTCGGCACCACAGCTATGTACTTGTACTGGTCCTTCCCCCCACATCCCCCATGTAGTTTGGCTTTTATTTCATTGTGACTATTTCGCCTAAGAACCTGGCTCGGTGGCGGCAAGCTCATAATCACAATTACAATCACAAATCACAGTCCCAATCATAACAAAGTCCATACATGCATTGGCATGGAGAGAGAAAAGACAAAGAGGCTGTACTGAATACGGAGTAGACGCAATCGGCTTCCAGTTGGCTATGTAACTTCAGGCCTCTACTGCCCTATCCCCAACGACTTGTACCCAAATGGAATGGAAACGAGTTACCAGAAGGGTGTGTAATCAAGAAAGTTCCCATACGTTCGTATTTTTGTGCGGTACGTGTTTACTATGTTACAACCGCGGTCGCTATATCTGGTAGTATACAAGGGAAGGATGGGAGAGTCAAGTCGCATCTTGCTCTACTGCTCAAACGGAGCATTGATACCACGGCTCTGCTTGCCCACGATCGTCGCGATAGACCCCTGAGAGGCAGGCCAGATACTGGTTCCGGTCTGCTGAGAATTCAGATGCTGAATCATGTCGTCCATGGTCATGGAGCCAACTTTCTGCACGGCCAGGCGCAAGAACGCCACGACCTGAGCAACTTTCACCCAGTCGACGTCCTCGTCCGCACGGAACAGGTTCCGCCAGATGGCGCTTGCGAGCACGGCATCGCCCTTGACGAGCCCTTCGTCGTACGACACCAGGATCCCGCGCCACTGCAGGAGGAGATCCTTCAGGTATCGACTGCGGATCCCTTGGGCGTTGAGGTTGTGGAGCAGCACCATCTTGTCCTCGGCTTCTCGGGAGAAATGCTCAATCAGATAGCGGTGGTAGTTCTGAAATTCAGACTCCGAATCCAGCACCGCGCGCAGCTGTGTGACGATCACGTAGAGGTGCAGAAAAGTAATCTGCGACCACGTCGAAAAGGTGGGCGGCAGGTTCAAGGTCGTGAACCACCACGCGTGCTTGTTCTCTGGGAGCGGATGTCCCAGCTCTGCTCCTTCCTGCGACGCCTCCTTCGCAGGCCCCTTACCCGTTAGGATGTTCATGCGCTGGTCTTGTGGGATGGTGTAGTCCGCCTGTGCGGCGCAGGATTTGAATAACGCCTCCGTCTGGCCGTAGATCGTATAGGTCTTGGTCGCGGCAGGGACTGTGCGCTGGAGTGTCTGGGCTAGACGAGCAGGGATGTTCAACTTGCTTGGTTGGGAGGAGAGCGACGATTGGATCTGGCGTTGCATCTGTGAAATGCTTGTGCCGGAGGAGGGTGGCGCAGAGGATTTGTCTTGTGCTTCTTCCGGTGGCGGTGACCGAGCTTCAGTCTCTGGTAGCGGCGCCGGAGCCGTTACATTGGACGTGACGGTCGAAACCGTGGTTGGGAGAGCTTGTTGTGTTGTCGGCTGTGATGGTGGAGGGGACTCGAACTCGTTGTTGGGAGCTGGAGAAGCTGTTATGTTGGTGGTGATGGTTGCAGCCGTGGTGGGAGGGACTGCTGGCTGCTCCATTGGAGTTTGAGTGGCTGAGCGGGAAGCTTGCTGCTGCCATCTTGTTGATGCTATTGACAGATATCTCTGCCTCGCTGGAGTCTGACTTTTCGCTCGAACCGCCTGAGCATTTGATTTAGTGGTCCTTCAACAGTATTCACTTTTTGATGGGACTCACGTTTGTCTCGGTTTTGGCGGTCTGTCGTAGCGTGCGAAGGCAATACGAGCAGAGGTTGAAGGAGCTCATCTTGGTTTGTAGATGTGGACGGAACAACGATGAGCTCAAAGACGGCTTCGTCCTGCGTCGTCCAGCTTGAGCATGTCGAATCTAGTACTCGCGTCATTGAAATTGAGCGCGTCATTGGCGCTAGCACTGGCTTAGTTAGGCGGGCTAGGTGATCAGTTCTGTCCTAGTACGTTTCTTGGCGCTTATGTAAGTGTGCTGGGCAGGTTTGCAGTGTTTGTGGATATCGTGCGCATCTCCCGAGTCCCCCTTTCGTCCTTTGTGGCATTGCTCTAAAAATGGACTGCTGACCGAGTCTCACCCCGACCTCTCTGGTTCAAAAGCTGAAGCTTTTCCACTCAAGTGCTTACCGAAGCTTGTCTCCGAGGGCCCCTCCCATTCAATCGCTTAACCCTCGTGGCCCCAAGCTGAATCTAACCTTTCCGCGCCCCCACCGCTGGTGCCCGTGCCTGGATTCTCCTTTGTGGTGTCTGCTCATTTGCGAGGTCAGTGTCGATCCAAAGTGTCGTTGCATCAAATTCTCAGACATATGAGAGATTGAATACGTTGACGAGATGTGAGTGAAGTGTGTCAGTGAAGAGCGACAGTAGCACTACGTGCTTTGGCTGGTAAACGACTGGCGAGGCGCTACTCCAGGTTAAACTTTATCAGTGGCATGTGGCTGAGAAACGCCCTCGACCTGGTCTAGCCATCTGGTTCTGGGTAGTGCTTACGACTTCAGCAGATTGCAAAGTGAACAGCCTTTCCCGGCCAGGCAGATGGAGTTTGTATAACAGATCACCTCCCCTTCCGTCTCTCGTTTCGCAACCCCTCCGCGCCGCGTCTTGGTTCTTCTCGTGCCACGAAGTATCCCATCCTGCACATTCGCAGCCATGTCTTCCCTTCTCCTTCCTGTCACTCTTTCCTTCCTTGCCAGATCCGTCCTCGCGTCTCCAGTTGGTATAGTGACTGGCACGGCCTTGCCTCCTAATATCGCACACCAGGCCGGTGGCGGGCTTCCGAACCAGCCTGGCACTCCCAAGATCTCCCTCAATGCCATCAACAGCTTTCACTTGGCCAACTTCCTGGAGAACTTGGAGTCTCATTTTTTCCAGGAGGGGTTGATGAATTACACGCGGTGGGGAACTGGCGATCAGGTCAATGGGGTCAGCAACATGGCAGTGGTGTCTCGCATCGCTGCTCAGGAGGAAGTTCATGTCGCGTCTATTGTTGGTCTTCTAGAAGGAAACGGGGCCCCAGCGGTCGCGCCTTGCCAGTACGATTTCCCCATCACGGATGAAACGAGCTTTCTGGCACTGGCCAGCATCATTACCAACGTCGGCATCGGCGCCTTGCAAGATCTTGCAGATGGCCTTTCCACCACCGACCCGGGTCTTGAAGCCACGGTCGCATCAATCATCCCTGTGGAATCGAGACACGATGCTTTCTTCCGCCTCTTCGCCCAGGAGGTGCCAAACCCCACCACCTTCGAGACGAGAATCAGCGGCATCTGGGCCTTCAACCTGGCTCTGGACTTCATCATCCCAGGCTCCTGCCAGGACCTGCCCTCCTTCATCACATCTCTACCAATATTTCCCGACTTGGGCATTATCGGCTACGGAGGTCCATCTTTCGCCACTCCCAACAGTCCCGGTAAACTGATCTTCCAGGTCGGACAACCCAACATGCTGCCACAGGGATGGAACTCGGGACCCCTGTACATGGCTTGGGTCAACCAGGACAACGTCCCTGCCTATACTCCTGTGACCGTGCAGGGCAATGAACTGCACGCCGATGTCCAACCAGGCATGTTTGGAGTTGCATTCGCCGCTTTGACCAACCAAAACACAGCAACCAACATTAACGATCTCACTAAGGCGACGCTGGCCGGGCCCCTGCCCGTTCCTCTTGGTAGCTAGAGCCGACATGATCAAAGATGCATGAGCGTTCACGAGGATTGCTGGGCGCAAGGAGTTTAGGAGGTGTGGGATCTGCTGGATGTAGCCAGTGCGGGATACCTGGGTTGGTGGCAGGGAAGAAGAACTTGTATGCCATAAGCCACAAGGGCGGAATCTATTCACACCACGTTTCAGTGCGATTTGTTTGTGCGTGCCTTGCATCTCAAGCCGGGTTTCTTGTCACCGTGTGTGCTGGTATCGTGTACTGGGTTCAAATGACCAATGCCCTGCATATTCGATCCAGCAACAGTGATCAGTCATACGATCGAAGACAGGGCTTGGTAAGGAGCGGACACGGGTCAAGAGAGAATTTCATATGTCCCTTCCGATGCGGTGACCATTCCCTGCTACACGAAGTCCCTACAGCATCTCTGAGTCGAAGGTTGGGTTGTTGCTCTCGTGCTCCTCGCCAGTGACCATCCTCTATTGGCCAAAGCGATCACCAGTGCCAAAATGTTGTCACCTCTTCACAGGGATGCTACAATCTACGCTCTCCATCCATTTTGACGCAACTTGGGTATCTCCAGTCTGGGCCGCATGCACGTATACCGTCCATCGGCTCGCAGCGAGGACTTGCTCGCCAGAGACTCGTGCTCGATCTGTAGAGTGCTGCACTGCCTTCCCCCGGCCGTGAGAGGCGCGAAGCCAAACGACCACAAGAAGACGGGTGTCGCGTACGGACTTGCGGAAGGACAGCAGCAACGACTTGTTACCGCCCTCGACCTCTTCATTGCCGGGCCAGCAGTGACCGCCTATTCCAAGCCTCATTTCAGCGTGGTAACTTCAACTGGTGCGCATATGGTAGGCCTACATGGGAGGAATGTTCGTGGATGCAGGTGACTCTCCCTGTCGGTAACATGATCTGTCAAATCTGCAGATGGACAGCTGCATTGCCGCGTACCTGCAGCATGAGCCTCCGCTTTGTGTGGTACAGACCGGGAAGCACGATTTTGTCAAACTGCTCAGATTCTGCATGCTCGACGCCCGATCCTCAGATACCCGCCCGTCTCTCTGCCGCTTCGCGCCATTCGGGGCAATGATGCCAGATCAGAGCGTCCTTCAACCGACACAGTAGCAATTGAACACGGCAGCAACGATACCAAAATCCTTGGCCTGGAAGTCTAGTATCAGCACGTGTAATCTTGATTTGGACGAAGAGGAGCACTGTTAGGGACCGACACCACCCGCGTCTCATCCGCGCCTACATGCATTTCTCCGATATCAAAATCTAATTCCGGTCAAAATTCGAGGCCGAATGTGCTCAGGACTATTGTCATGGCAGTATCAATACGTTTCCTTCGCGGCCACTACCGTCGCAGGGGTGAAGGTCGTTGCCAACAGGACTGATCGATAGTCAAAACCCACCTGGACTCAACCCGATTGAGGGCCATGCGCTGTGAAAGGTCCTACGAAGCTGCTCCCGCCCCGACCATGCGGTATTTCAACCGATGTTCGCCTAGCTTTCGGCTGCGGCATCAAGCACGTAGCCTTCTCGAATATGACAGCAATGAAGCGCGGCATTTTGAAATCTATCCGCCAGCAGAGCGGGCAACAGCATCCACGCGAAATTGCAGTAGACCATGCCTGGGTCTTCTACAAACACCGGATTTTGCACAGGCCGCAAACGGAGGGCTGTTGCATCCGAAGCGCGCCATACCGTTGTTTCAATGACCTTCCCATGGCCACGGCAATCCAGGGGATATAAGATGGTGTGCGGGAGCTTGACAGATCTTTCTCTCGAGACAGCTTCAGGTAAGGGCTTCGAGCGAGAAGGTTCTGTATACAATGGGGAGCGTTCTGGTCACTCTTTTCGTCAGCCTTGCGGGTCTCGGCTTGACATATGCAGAACAGCATCCAGGTCAGTCCTTGACCTGTGGCAAGCTGGGTTATCGCTAACGAAAACAAGGTGTGCACAATCGACTCGTCCGTCGTTGTGACAACGAGACTCACCCCTGGATCTATGGGAACGACACCAGCCCCGAGCCAGGTTGGTCCACTGGCTATCTCACACCAGGACAACCGCGACCGACAGGACTCCCGCCTGTTTTCTCCTGCGGGAGTGGCTCATGCCAGCTTGGGGGCGTGCCGAATACCACCGCTGGTAACAACAGTTCACCACAAGTCACTTTCAGTCCAGAGCAGACCTCAGTTGGGACAGCGCCGCCTTGGTCCAATATCACTGTCGCTCAGGGCACCAATCGAAGCCCAAACCCTCTAATAACCTCGCCGCCGTTCGCCAACACCACCTCGAATGACAATAACACCGCGGCATCGCCATCCACTTCGTCGCGGAGCAATGCAACCATCGCCTCGGCGGAAAGCACTTGGTCCGCCGCTTCGAATACTGCTTCATCGGATGGAACGACAGCGTCAGATGCACCCAGCGTCTTGCCGATGACTGTCATGACAATGAGATCTACAACCACAATCTGGTCCATTCCCGGTTCAAATTTCACCTCTAACGGCACAAATCCTCCCTGGGGCACTGGCAGATCTACAGACGGGCCGTTGTGGACGAATACATCCTCACCAGCTCCAGGGTATACCTCACCCTCAGAGACCGACACTTCGCCCGAGTCCGGAAACGCTGTCATCACCGTCACGATCGATTACACCCCTGCCCCAATAACCCCATCACCTGTGACTCCGGCGCCTGAAGAATTTACAGTGATAGCCACTGTACCTGAGAGAAGAAACCACACGTTTTCTGGTGGATCCAACACGAGGACGGCTCCCTCAAATAGTACAGGCGGAGCGACCGGCCCAACCTCATTGCAGCCAGGGTCACTCACTATGACCATTGTGGTGGAGAGCAACACCACCAGGGTCTTTTCGCCGGGCGAAACTTCAGCATCATCCACCGTTTGGTTCAATTCTTCTCTCGTCTCAGCGGTCACGAATGCAATCCCAACAGACAGCTCGGCCCCACCAGCAACCAATCCTACGACGTCGGACTCCTTCGTGTCGTCCACGACCTCATCGACCAGCGAGTCGACACCACCATCTCCTTCCGAGGCGACTTCGTCATTGTTGACTGACGATGCCACAGCACTCAGCACCAGCGCAACACCTGACGACTCGACTTCTACGTCTACAGCAGCAAGCAACACCACAACCCCATCACCGGCAAGTGGAATTCCAGGCGGTATACCCATACCCATACCCATTCCTACCGGCGTGCCAACATCGCTATTGTGGCCCAACAGCACGCACCCTACCCCATGTGTACTGACGGCTCCGTACCCCTGGCGAGATTGGAACTGGACAACAGCCCCAACCGGGGGGCCGTTCACCCCGCCTTCCAGTCCATTCGGCACGACAGACACCTCCAGCGTCACTTCTTTCCCGTCTTCCTCGGACATGACCAACTTCACCTCTTCTGCTTCTTCCGCTTCTTCCGAGACGCCAAGCAACACAGCGACGCCCTCCACCGGCACGTGGTTTGCAATGACGACGCTAAGCAATGGAAGTGTAGCGACCACTTTGTCGACGCAGTTCGGAACGGCGCCCGCGTCACCCGATGGCGGCCCTACTGATCCAGGCCACGGTGGTAGTGGCGCCAGTGCCAGTAGTGGTGGCGGTACGAGTACTCCTCCGGCCGTAGTGGATCGCCATATTGTGGTTCCGCCCAGGAGGCAAGCTAGATGGGCGTCTGCTCTTTAAGTAAAGTAGCGTGTGCGAAGGGGAGATAGGCTCTACTATACGGAGTACACGGCGAGGAGTTGCCTATGAGGACACACGCTAATGCCAAAGGAAGAGCCGCGTTTAGATGACGCGAGGGTGGGAGTTTATTATGTTCGCATGCCGTGACGAGCACATTCTTGTCGAGCGCGCACAGGAAAGTGGGAGAGGGCTATGTACCTAGGTAATACCAGTAACGCGTTGAACGTTCCGAGATATCCGCCTTTCCATCTCGTGCTGGCACAAGCAGTTCGTCGTAGCTGTGTGTCCCTTCGTAGCGTTCCGCGTCTTTGCTCATTTAGCTTTGTATGCGAGCGCCGTTCGTGGCTGTCTCTGGTCATGTTGGCCCCAAGTGTCGGTGGCAGGGACATGCTGTTCGTCGCTCAACTATTTCCAATCTTCACGTTTTGTTCCTTCGTTTCGAGCGTCGTAGGCACGGGCCGTCCTTGTGTAGGCATGCGATTAGAGGAGGCGGCTTCCACTTCTTGCCCGTAGTCTTCGCTCGCGTCCGTTGTTCTCGCAGCCCTGCTGATGTCTGTGCCGACCACAGAAGCTCATGACTGCCCTTACTGCCTCAAGCGGATGTCCAGGTCTGTCTTAGGTGCCTGGAAACGAGGAGGGCGGGCGTAGGGAGAGCGCGCGCGCACTATTGCTGCAGAATTTTCTGCCGGACCGTTTCCATCCTTTCAATAGAAGAATATGATACCTTTTGCAGGAGAAAGAACAATAGCTCCGCCGCCCTTCATTCTGACTCAATGGGCGTGAGCGGAGCACTGCTGATGCCTGATGTTGCGGGTGTGGCAGCGTCTTCTGCCGGGCGCAGGCCAGAGGATCTCACGCTGGCGAGAGATTGATTTGTCCATTCGGCGATCGAAGCGGCTGGACCACCAACGATCGCAACGGACTGTGGTTCTGTATCCTTGCCTAGAATCGTGCCTTGATATCGCGACTCTTCGCCTGTCTTGCTGTGGCGCTTCTTGAGAGCTGCTCAGCAACACTCGGTCAGTCAGTCAGTCAGTCACTTGTCACTTCAACTCCAAACTGCCTGTTTTTCCTCACCGCGGCCTCACACAAAGGACAAAAAAAAACGCGAAAGAGTCTCAGAGACTTACCAGAGAGATAGTCCTCCTGATCATCCAAGCCCGCTGCGATTTCCTCGACGTTCGCCTCGCCGCCAAAGCCCGCGATCCGTCTGATCTCCTTGTTGACCGGCCCGTACGCCCAGTTCACAAACGCTTCCACACCGCGAAGATCCTCAAACGGCACCCACACTCCCTCGGAGATCTGCACGTCGTCCCTCAGGCTCTCCTCCGCGGTGCTCATCTGCGGGTACAGCGCGCCCGCCTGGCTCAGCGCGAGTCTCACATCCTGAATCGTCGGCACGAAGGTGTTGTGGAGGTTGAAGGCGTTTTGAGCCGTCGAAGAGGCGAGTAGCAACAGATACCGCGCTGCCAGGTCGGTGACTGTGTCGATCACGGCGGGTTTCGCGTAGCCGAAGCCGGCGGCACGCAGGATTTGAAGGACTGCTGGGCGTAAGAGCGCGGTGTGCAGGTCGGCGGAAGTCATTGCGCGCGTGTCTGTGTCTTTGCCTGGTTCTCAACGTGCGGTTCTCAGACAAAGGAGGAGGAAGAAGAAGACACTCCGGAGAAATTACAGGCAGCCAAGATGCCTCGATCGATGATATCGCTGAATCAAGTGCAGATGCTGGTGCCGGGCGAGAAGTGGTCCTTCACAGTGAATCGCAGGAAGTACGAGTTTTGTCCTGTGCCAGCGACGCCGTGCACATCCTTCCTGACACTCAATCTGCGGCCTGAGGGATTGCTTCGATGGCCTGCGACGTCTAGGGCAACAATTCCATATCCCAGGGCATCGACAGAGGATGAAGCTGAGAGTGATCTAGGTCGACAAGATGGGATGGAAGAAGATCCACGTCCGAAGGGAGACATTGCTGGAGCCGCCGCCGACGACGCGGTGACAGCCGACGAATCGGCGCTACAGCCGGACCATCCAGCGGCTATTGCGCCTGAACTGCAAAGCCCCGAAGCCACTGAGACTTCGGCCGAGAAGCCGCTCGAAGCGGCGGCTATTGGCAGCCCGACGCCGGGGCGTCTGGCGTCTGTCGTGCCTGAGGCGCCCAATGATGACGCTCCTCGACAGACGCCCAGAAATGGCAGGAATAAAGTCGCGGGGAAGCCTAATCGCCGCCTACACACTTTGACGCATCGTCAACACCGCGAAGCAAAGTCTATCCTCAAACCCGATCGTTCTGCCGGCATCAGGAAGTCGAAGCCCGCGAGAGGCAGGCGCAGATCCGTCGCCGTCGACCCAGAAGTGCATGTCCACTTCATCAACGAGACTCCTCCTGGCTCACACCACTCCAACGGAGAGAATGAGTCCCCAGTAGCCTCCTCTGACAACGACTCGGCGATCGACTCTGACGGCGACGAGGACATGTCTGACCCCTCTGCTCCTGCAAAGGAGAAACGCCCCAACCTCAAAATCAGCTTCTCTCGCAAACCCTCAGCCCAAGCAGGGGGGATACAACCTGCGCCTGTGCAAACGCCTGTGCCTCAGAGCGCGACAGCGAGGACACCCAGCATCAAGCTCAAACTTCCAGGCAAAAGCACTCCACTCCCTGTAGCCGACGATGGCGCCAAGCCGAAGAAGAACAAGAAAAAGAACGCGGCGGATACCATCGAGATCGCTCCCGGGTCGAACAAGAAGCGAAAGCGCGAATCCGTAAAAGAGGAGGACGATGATGAAGGTGGCCGACCTGCTCCGTCACAACCGGGTAAACCTCCCACGATCCGCACGCTCAAGTTCAAGACGCCGTCTCAGACGGCGCAGACACCGGCACCCAAGGCGACGGGACCCGCAAACCTGCTTTTCAAGGTCAAGGGCAAAATCCCCAAGCGGACTCCCGGCGTGGGCTACGACTCGGAACTCGAGAGCGAGTATGAGAACGACAAGAATCAGATGGCCGTCGGTCGCGAAAAGGACCCGGTCATACACGAAGGCTTCATCCTGCGCATGCAGCCTGGCGAAGATTGCGATTACCTGCGCAAGTCGATCGAAGACGGCAAGGCAGGCGAGATCCTTTCCAAAGGCGGTGCGGCGATCAACTTGAGGATGCTAGATACGCTGGGCAGGAGAGGGATCCTGCAGATCAAGGATCACAAGTATGCCACCTCCTTGGTGGATCTGCCATGCATCCTTGAGGGCATGAAGTCTTGGGACAAGAAAGGCTGGATTAAGAGTATCGACATCTGCCAGATGCTGCTGGTGCTGGGCCGATGCAAGGACGAACAAGAAGCGAGGAACTATCCTTTGCCTGAGGATGTTGACCCCAAGTCATATCAATATGCCCACGGCATCACCGCGCCGATGAAGTGGGTTCGCAAGAGGCGGTTTGCACGGACCAAAAGAGCGCGCGTGGACGACATCGAGGCCGTCGAACGGAGGGTGCATGCCCTACTCGAGGCCGACAAGGCGGCAGTCAACACCAAGTACCAGCTTCTGGACCACGACCCGCGCCTCGACGAGCACGGATACAGCACTGACCTGGAGGAGGGGGAGGAGGGCGAGGAAGATGACGAGGACGAGGACGCGGAAGCTGAACCGGACAACTACTTCGGCTATCATCCCGGAGCTTATAACGTATCAACACCCATGGTTACGGAGACACCCGTGCAGGAGGAGATCGACCAGGACGACTTCGCCGCACTTGAGCGCATGTTCTACGACGAGGATAAGGGCCCGGCAGCAGAACCCACGGCGCAAGCTCCGAACACACTACACCCTCCAGAAGTGGGAGGGGACTCTTCCTTCGCCGTCACCAGCACGAGCGCCACCCCGTCCGCCACGGCCGAGCACACGCCCGCCGGCGAAGCTTCCTCGGACGAGGATGAAGACGACGCGGGCGACGAAGACGAAGACCGCGACGATGCCGAGAAGGAAGGCGACGAAAGCAAGCGTCAAGCGCTCGAGAGGATCGACGACATGACCAACAAGATTGCCGAACAGCGAGAGTTGCTGAAGAAGACTACCAACGCGATTCTGAAGAAGAAGCTCGCTAGGAGGATCCAGGACCTGGAGGACGACGTGGCGATGATGCGGAAGAATGCGGGCTTGGGTGGGACCGAAGATGATGAGTGATGGATTCACCGCACCAGTCAACCAGGGGTGACATTAACGAAGAATTCGAGTACAGTATTGCTGCATACTCGTACCAATCGTCACTGCTGAGGTTGTGCCATCCTTTGCTGCCGAAATTGATGCACGATGCATTAGGGAAATGCTCCGGTTCAGCTCGCCCGTTGAGGAGGGTACGTATTCTTTCGGTATCGGATGAATTAGACTTGGGGATGTGAATGGGAATCAGGATTACTATTCATCCATTCACTCACACTGTGCCCTGGGTTTGTTTTGATTACTTCCAACACAAAGCCACATGTCATGCACGCATGCATGCATCCTGCTTGCTTTGCCTATCAATGCCCAATGCCATCTGTTGGTCCTTAGCAATGCGCCCATTCGAATATCCGCTACGGTAGAAGCATTCCCACTTTGGGAGGAGCTCTGTTTGTGGCCACTTCCTGCGCCTCATCGAGCGCGTTTGCCGCCGCCACGGTATATATGCATGCTTGTGGGATGTCAGACAGCAGTGCGGAAGGGAGAGGGACAGGAAAACGCAGAAGTTCGTAGTATTTTACCGGCTCGTCTCGAACCCCCTTTGCAGCTCTACGCAAGGCTTGACTCCTCCTCACCGAACTCCTTCCCGCTCCAAGCGATGTAAATCATAAGTTGTAAGTTACGGTGACGAAATTCGGTCGCCAACATTCGACCCATCGAGACGCGGACATGAAGTTATCAATTCCCGCCATCTTGCGCGCTCGGGCGGTTCCGACCACAGTACGGTACCGATGCAGTTCGCGGCGGAGGAGAAGAAGGGGCACGACGTCTTGGGAGTTGCAAATTCCATCATGTAGACATTTGGGTGGCAGCACTGCAGGAGATCCCTCAACCATGCGCTGGCCTGGATTGTTGATGCCCTCGAGCTCGAGTTCGTCGTAGGACGACAGCAGAGCTCGGTCTCTTGACGTTCGACCTGATTCGTTCGATCCCGGACTCCGGGACTCGGACTTGGTCTCGTACAGGGTGAAGTTCGTGGGGCCTCTTTCATTGAACAGGAAATGACCGCAAGGTTACGTTGCTACCGGGCTGAAGCTGTTTTTTTCGAAGAAGCTCCGGCCGTGTTTGTTGTACCGTTACCGCCCGTCTCCGAAGGTCAGTCAGATGCGCAGACAAGTGCTTCGGAGCAATCAATCCCAGTCAGCATGAGAGAGATTCGCTGCACGGCGTTTCGCTGCAAGTGAACAGAGAAAGGCACTCATTGCAACCAGGGCGAAGGTATGAAGCTTGTTCATATCTGCGTATGCGGTAGCGGAAGTCTATATCGATCTTGCGACTGTACAGTCAGAAGGCCTTTATCCGGGAAGTTTTGGTCGAGCGCAGCTTACGGGTCTTCGCAAGCTGGTGGCTGTTGTTCAAACCTGTGGTAGCAGGAGTGGACAGTGTACAGAGAAAGGTGCTTCGAAGAAGTCAACTATTGCGACGAACTGATTCTTTCTATACTTGGAGCCGTACGGGATGAGACTGATGCCTGGTCACGGTCCTCGGTCTCTTCTGAAGCAGCAAGGTCTGTACCATGGCCGAATGGATTCGTTCGGAAGGGTATGTGTCTAAGCGGAGGGGTGTTGTAGGGGGAAGTGGTTGACAAGACGTTGAGTGTCGCAACTTCTATTAGAATCGTCCCTCGAAGGACTGTGATGGGCCTTATTGGAGAAGTGTATCGTGATTCGGGAGGGTCGGGGTGTAGAAAACATGCGGAGGCTTGGGGCGACGTAGGATGTACCATGAGCCAGGTATATCCGTCACTTACTTGTCGGTCGTGTTAAAGGGCGCTGTGTGCATAGCATGGCATCGGTCTGTCCTAAGAGGCGAGGAATTGTGTTGTAGCTAACGGATCCATTGTGTGTGATGCACACTCCTGCAAAAGGAGAAGATCAGGGGCTTTTCAGAAGTTTTGACCAGCGCATATAGTCGGACGACTCTCGTTATCGTATTCCAAAGTCTCGTTCACATGGGGTTTTACGCCCCAAGTTCCCACCGAGCCCCACGTGGAGGCTGAGGCGGTGCCCGGCTGAAAATCTTAGGGATACGATAACGATAGTCGATCTAGTGGTATTCGCAGTCAGCGCGCAGAAAACCAGCACATCTGGGTTGGAATCATAGATCCCCAAGGCGGAGGGAGTGGCTCACCGGCGGATACACTGCCACTAGAGCCATCGGCATGAACGTAGAAGGCGTAATGAATCACGTTGGACTCACAGCCCGCCCAGACCCTTCTCCGCGCCAGTCTCGCCATTGATCGCAGTCACTCCGGGGTTCCACAGCCGGCCCACTAACCGACGATGGATGAGCCTCCCAAAGATCGAGGTCTTCCTGCGGCGAGCCTTGTAGCGAAGCTAGACCACGCAGGGAATTTTGCCGCGGGCGACTACCCGCTAGGATCCGGCGTGGGAGGGGGTAGGAGCAGGAGCAGGAACAGACATCAGGATAGGGACTGTCAGCACTAACACGATACAACAAACATGCCTGGAAGGTATGCTTCCTTTTCGGGCTGGTACTCGTAGAGGAAAGAAGACAGAAGAGAGGGGCGGAGAACTGCAAGGGATAGACGCTAGTCCTATTACAGGCAACAGTCAACAAAGCACCCGCTATGACGTCAGTTGCTCTCATTAAGCGTAAGGCCGTGAGGCGCAACCTACTCGTATGAGTACAGCATCCTCCTCCAGCGCCGTATCTTACGCATGGGGAGAACCTAAACTCACTCGGAATCTCAAGCACAAGCAGACTAACAAAGATAGGTGACGAAAGACAGGCAAAGCATCGTCCGTTCGGAGAAGTCTGTTACTCTTCAATCATTTAGCGCACAACGGTCTCCTTGCCCCCCCTTCTGTTGTCAACGACTGGAGGTATGAGGGCCGGCCGGAACAGCTCCAGTCGCCCTTGCCAGTTGTTTGGCGTGGCTGCAAGATCGACACCGTCCTCCTACGTACGGGTGTTACATCGGGCTTGCTTGCTCAAAGGCTGTCCCTCACGGATGCGTGAAGATGACATGTCGTTCTAGGTAACACTTTGTCCGGAAAGGCCGCCCTGAGAGTACTCAGAGCCATAATAACCGGGTCAGAGATCCGGAACTGCGACCTCCGATCAAGATGGCTCAGTGAGGACAACAGCCGTCATAACGGCGCCAGAAACATTCACTTTTATTGCCTCACCGGAGAGAGGGTATCTGATTCTACTTTACGACACTACGGCAATGGGTACTGGGGACTTATCGAGACCTGGCGGCAGTCTGTCTATTGATGTCCTCCTGTTCAAGTTGCGATGGGTTCGCGTGGAGGAGGATCCTCTTCTCGCTGTTGAGTGCCGGACGTCCTCAAACGGTTCGTCTTCCCTCACACCTTTGTCACGTGTACCGCTGTGGCGTCTTCCTTCGATGGGAGGCTGTCCTGTACTTCCGCTTCGAGAGTGTTGTCCGTCAAGTCGGTTGCAGGTTTCTTTCCGAACAGAGCGTCGATTTCTTCCAACGCCATCCCGTTGGCCTAAAAGATCCAGTGTCAGTCCGTTCTGGTTTTCTTCGTTGATGGCAGGGATATCTGACACATCCTGTCGTCGGACGTTTGTGGAAAAGCTTACATCTGGAAGGAAGAAATATATGTGGACAGTATGGGCGAGACCGAGGCACACAAAGACCAGGTAGTATTTCCACCCGATCGAGGCTTGAGCTGTGGGCGCGAGCTGCAGCCACAGGACGTCCATGAGAAAGATGGCCGAGACAGAGTAAGAGGTCGCCTCGCTACGAAGGTAAGATGGGAAGATTTCGGTCACGGCGGTAAACTGATTGATGTCGATCAAGCCCCCGTACCTGATGAGCAGCCACGCGCCGACCGATCAGCATACACCATGAAGAACAAGCATGGGCCTTTCAGATCTTTCCACTCACGCGATCACATAGAGATAGAGAAACACCACAGCGGCGGCTGCGAGGCCTTTCGACGCGGACGTGCTGTACTTGGCGATGAGGCCCGTCGCGACGATAAACATCGACATGTTAATGCAGTAACCCCAGACTTGGTTGATCATGTCAGCCGATGCTCACCGCGCACAGGTTCAGAAACTTACTGAGTGCCTTTCGCCTACCGAGTCTGTCGCTGTAATAGGCGCCCACGAAGTTGGCAATGGCAGCAAGCGTGTTGTACAAGGCGCTGAGCATGATGGACATCTCATTGTTGAGTCCAAGCGACTGGTACAACAAGACCGTGTAGTTGTTGATCACGAGCGTTCCGACGTTCTGTCCACCAGCCATCACGAGGAAGGCCAGGATGAACCGCTTACGGTACGTTCTGGTGGTGAACAGCTGCCATTTGCCGTCCCTTGCCAGGATTTCTGCGTCGGCAGCCTGTTGACGTTCGATCTGAGCAAACTCCCGCTGAGCAAAGTGGTCTTCCGGGTCACTGGCGCTGTGGTGCAGTTTGCGGAGTAGCTCGTACGCCTCCGCACCTCGACCGTGCTGGACGAGCCATCGAGGGCTTTCGGGAACTAACCACCCGGATTCATCATCAGCTCACCCGCTCGAGACTGAAAAAGTGGTCGCAATAATAGCGGCTCTTACTGAAGAAAGTCCCAGTCATGAGGATAATGCCCAGAAGCACGAGCACCGCATTTGGGAATCTCCATGAAAACGTCGTGTCCGGGGCATGAAAGCAGCCAAAGCTAGACATTGGTCAGTCTCCCGAAGCCGAAAATCTGGGCTTCAGAAGGGATTTCTGCGTTTTGGGCTTACCCGATCCATCCTGCCAGGAAATATCCCAAATTGATAAAGCTTCCGTGAGCGCCAGTCATCAACCCACGGGAGTGAGGAGGAGACACTTCGGCGTAGTAAGTCGGCATAGCAGCCAGTGTGTTCCCCGCTGCAAGTCCCGTGATGAGGCGCGCGACAAGATACTGATCACCAGGGAAGGAAACACTGCGTGAGCAGAATCAAGCGAGCCAGGACGGATCATGGCCTTACCATGGCGACATTGACCGAGCCAGCCTGAATGGCGGCCCCGATGATCCCAAGAGCACTTGCAATGCGGAAGCCGTTCAGTCGACCGAACCTGTCGGCCGCCCACCCGGAAAGCAGAGTGCCGAAGAAGCCTCCTCCGAAGAAGACGCCATTGACAGCGCCGATGATGGTGTTGGTATACCCGTAGTCTGGGTCGGTGGGATCGGCCACCAGGGACAGAGACTCATAGAACGTCGGCTGCCCAAGGGTGGTCGTGATGACCGCCAGGCCGAACCCTGCGAACAAGGAGCCCGTGGCGGCGAAGAGAACAGCCTGTTGTAAGCACATGGGTGAGCAATCCTTGCCTAGTGCCATCTGATCTGGAGACATGAAGCACTCACTCGCGAGTTGTAGCTGGTGTATCCCTCCATGCCGTGCCTGCCCGGGTCGCTCAAGGAGGTCTTTGCAGTTTCAGTGAATCTGGGGATGCGTCTTGCAGTGTTGCCAAAATGCGGAGGGAGGCCGATCTTGACCATCCGCGCGAATCTTGCATGTCAGCGCGACCATAAGTACCATTTTCCGGCTCACGCATTCCATGCGGGGACTTCTTCACGCTTCTTGGATCCGAGACCACACCAGAGCATGGGCTAGCATTAGTAAAAAAGGGGGCCCCGGGTTTCGCAGGTGTTGAGGAAGTTACAAAGCCACGGCAATGCTCAGCCGAGGGACGAAGCGCGCGTTCGCCAGCCGCTTGATACTGTACCAGCCGTCCCGCGGGCTCAATTGAGCCACGACTTTTGCAGGTCGGTCGAGCCCTGCCGCGACCTGCTGTGTTGCCGGCCGTGCAACGATCCACAATCCCCGTGGGGAACGACAGGCACTGAACTGCGGTGAAGCTTCATTGCCAACGGGTATGCCTCTCTGTGGCGGCAGGCAAGCACTGCCTCTCTCATACTCAACCACCCTACATCTCGAAGGAACGGTGCGATGTCTGTAGCTGAGTAGTGTCGATTGTCTGTGGTCTCTATGTCCCCTTCTATGAACTATCGAAAGCAAAAGACAAAACAAAAAAAGGAAAAGAGCGAGCGCAGCCTTGCGCTACACTTCCACTGATTAATCAGAACGCCAGATTGCTTCCCTGTACAATGTATGTACAGGGAAATGGCAGCCTTACTAAACCGTAACTTCATCCGTCCCATTACAGTACGGGAGCTGGTACAGTACGGAACCTGGAGTAGGTGCACGCGGGTTGATCATTCGCCGCATGACACAGAGGAGGAGAATCGACAATGCACTCGCGTCGCACGGAGCGACCCCACAAAGCCCAGAGACGTCTCGGTGATCACTGTACTTCTCGGGTCCCAGCATCGACCACGTCAAATCACCGACTTCCCCGTCAATCGGTGACTCGTCTTGAGTACGATTTCTTGCCACTCCTTGAGGAAGTCTCCCTCTCGGTAGTCATCATGGTCTACATCTACATACCCAAGCGGTGCCCACATCCGGGGCACAATCCCCAAGGATCGTCCTGGAAGCGGTCAGATTAACGGCCTGAGGAGGGACGAGAAGGGGCCATTTGAGCTGTCAATCAACGTACCATGCACGGTCGTATCGGAAGCGATTCTGACGAGGGCCTCGGCGGCATCGTCTATCGATGCGAAGACGGCACCTTTATCGGTGATGCGCTTCGCGACAGCATCGCTGATGATGTCGGTCTTGATGTACCTATTCGGTGTCACGGACAAAAGTCAGAGTCTGTGAAAGGAGCCGAGTCAAATGCAGGACGCTCACCAAGGGGCAATGTAGTTGATCCGGGTGCCATGCTGCAAGGCAGTCCTTCTGAGACACCTCATGGTCCCGCGCAGTCCAAACTTGGAGGCGTTGTATTGTGGCGATCCGGGCTGATCGACGTATCCGGCGAGACTGCCTTGAAGGACAAGGCACGTATCGGGACCGGCGGTGGAAGTGTCGACCCCGGATTTGAACTGTTTCCTGAAGTAGAAGAGCGCCAGTTTGATGGTATACATGACTCCGATCAGGTTGATGTCGAGGATTTTGAGGTCGGGCTTCGTTGGCTCTGATTCAGACTCTGCGGGCCAGATTGAGTTAATAATCAAGCCATCCTTCTGAGCCGAGCCACCACGTACCCTCGTCGACAAAGACGGGGTCTTGCCCACTGATTCCCGCGTTGGCCACGACGACATCGACGCAGCCGTTGGGTGATGTCTTGATGGTCTCTTGGAACATTCGGGCCTGGTCATCCCAGTTCGTAACGTCACAGTGGGTAGACCAGACTCTCCTATAGATGAAAGAACGGGGGATTGATTAGATGTATTAAAAAGAAATAACAAGTGCTTCCATATCAGATGAAAAAGGGTATTGAACCGGTCAACGTACCCAGGGTATGCCGAGGTCAGTTCGGCCGCACGAGCGTCGTCAATATCCCCTATCATGACGAACGCTCTTTGAAAGAGAAAAAGGCGTGGTCAGGAACGAGCTCTTTCGATTTGACACCAGTTGAGGCGTTGTGCCAGAGATGGGCACAGAATAGGCGGTTGGATTGACTGAACTCACCCAGCCTCTGCCATAGCTCGAGTATAGACTGCTCCGATTCCATTCGACCCTGCGGGTTTGATCGTCAGCCACAGGTGTCCGCAAAGCCAGCCGCGTTGGCCTCAAGTCAAAGAAAGGACTTCCGGTGGACGAGCCTGCCCACCACTCGCCAGGGGCTAATATGCGATCCGGAATCAAATTTGCCTACCGCCGGTGATGATAACAGTCTTCCCCTGTACTTTGGCCCTATCTGCTTTGACCGTGCAGTCCACAGCACCTTGATCAATGTAGGTCGTCATTTTCCCCTCAAGAGTCAGTTCGCGTTGGATCACTCAGAGAGCCGCAGTGATAATGATTATCATGTAGACCGTGAGAAGAGAAGGCTTTGTATTATTAGGATGGAACATGCATTACAGGTATCATTCGAATCGCTCATGCCAGCGAACGACTTCCCACAGTTCTGCACCGCCCGACGTTTTGCACCGTCCAAAGTCTGGGGATCCCGGCCTCGTACATACCATACCATGCTCCTCGGTTGACCGTGTGACTCTCGGCTGAAACGACAGTCTACAGTAGCTTGCGGCTGTACGGAGTACCCCGTCAATTATTGTCGACCACGGCCGCTGTTTGAGCCGCGGCCGAAGCTCCCTCGGCGACTGTCTTGCTGCCGGTTGGTTACTTCAAGAATGGGACTTTAGTCTCCTTGGTACACTTCATCTTCAGCAATCCATGTCAAGCCTTCCGGATCCTATTGTCGTCGGCTGCGTGAAGAAGCGTAGGATCCTAACAAGAGCATGCTTGCTTCTAAACTCGCCCTGCTCTACCGTCCCAAGCCTTTGCAGTCGCGTAATAGTACTGCAATGCTTTACCAAGAAGAGTCAGCTCGCTTGCACCTCTTGACTGAGTCTCTCAGCTGACGGACCGGGGTGCGACGAAATCATGTGGGCTTCTTTTACTGTTGCTACCGTCTTCGAAGGGCCGTGCACACAAATGCATACGGCCTCCAACGTTTGCACAGATTCTCTCTGCACATATGTACGAAATCCGCCGCTTGGGTAAGTCCCACTATTACACACACTGACAACCACAGTCTGGGGCTCTGTGTGTTCAGTTCGTACCACTAGCAATGCACATGAAGCGGGTGGAGAAATTCGGACTGATCAAATAAAGTCGGGGTGTCTCTGGGCAACAACGCCGTCTTGACTAATTACATCGAGGCCCAAACCCTTCTCGAGAAGTGGTCAAGCTTGACACGATGGCCGAACTCCTGCTTCCGGATCACAAGACATTGTCGAAGAGTAGATACGGATCCGCGCCCGAAGGCAGCATCTGGGGCTTCTGGGACGAACTTCATGGCGGCCCTGACAAACTCGATTGTAGGTTATCATGGCTGAGACATGGGATTTGCAACGTAATGATACTTACCCCGAGCTCATAGCCCTGAATCTTCTGACGCCGGAGAGGGTGCTTGCAGCAAAAGATGGAATAAGATCGGAAGCAGTGTGCAGCTCGACTGGTCGTTGAACAACCTTCGCCATACACGTTGCATGACAGGCAGAGGCTTGAGCAAGAGATCATCGATTACCTGCCCATTGTGGGAGTCCATGCTCACGACGATGTGCTCAAGTTCAACACCCAGTGCGGGAGTCAATGGGTTAGTTAGTTCTCACCTCCGGTTCGGTCCTTTTCTCAATAGCAAGAATACAGGATGGGTTTGGCCACTACTGTCATCCCACGGGGATCTACTACAACGGGGTCAAGCACGCTGACGTCAAAGGAACGCCGGGCTCTCTGGGCATCAACCGTAAGCTCACGACCCGCGACCCCGACGATCAGTCTGTTCATGAAAATGTTAATGTGGCTGATAAATTCTTCACAGATTGGTGTGAGACAGGCGGCATCGTCATGCGCGGCGTGCTCCTCAACTATGTCAGGTACCTCGAGGACAAGGGCCTGCCAATGCCGGATCCTACCACGAATCACGGCTTTACGCTCCGCGACCTCGAGGCTGTTGCGCAACACCAGAAGCTCGACTTTAAGATTGGGCATCTGTTGTTCGTCCGCACGGGATTTGTGCGCTGGTACGACAATGCGCCGGACGGGGAGCGACGGCGATGCATGGGCGGAGAGCAGTTCACATTCATCGGTCTCCAGGGATCTGAGGAGGCCAAAGAGTGGCTCTGGGATCATCACTTCGCCGCGCGCCTGCGACACGTTTGCGCTTGAGGTGAATCCGCCGACAGAGGTCGTGCTGCACGAGACAATCCTGCCTCTCTGGGGCACCCAGGTTGGGGAGATGTTCAACCTGGAACAGCTGTCCGACATGTGCAATCAGCAACAGCTGCGCCGGAGCTTTTTTGTGACATGCGCCCCTTTGAATGTGCCAAATGGGATCGGGAGCCCCCCGAATATCATAGCAATTTTCTGAGCCGGAAGGGCCATTTCACAGAACGCGGCCGTCACGAACACTTCTGAAGTTTGTGTAACAAGGTCAAATGAGATGCACCTCAAGAATCAGCGACGGCGAGTCCACGGATGTGGCTATCAATGAACATACCCAGCACTGCAGGGCAAACAAGGGTAATGGCAGGCAGTTTCCCAGCATTATTGGAGTCCGCTACTACTGTTGCCCCCAGGGAAGCTCGAAACTGCGAGGACCCAACTCTACCCAGAGCGGCTCAATTGGCCTCCTGAGGTCCGGGTCGTATATACACATGAAAAATATAGTGTCGGGGTTTGACTCTGGCTGCTACATACATTTCAGGGGCAGTAAAGCTTCGGCCGACGCAATGACATTATCACCGAGCAATGGCGAAACCGTCCTGGTCACAGGCTTCAACGGATTCATCGGATCAACAATCGGGCTTCTGGTGTTGAGCAAAGAGCTACACTCTCTGGGGGCGCCACGGCGAGGAGGCTGGACAATGTCCGGAGCCTACTTGAGGGTCCATTCAAGCCATATGCAGATCGAGTCGCGATATTCGAGATTGCAGACATGAAGGCGGCAAACGCCTAAAAAGGCGCCGTCTCTGGTAAGCAAGCCAAAGCGATTTGCATTCATAAGATCCGATGGCCCATCGGGGCGCATTTGCTGACTTTCTTTGCTCAGGCGTTCATGGCATTTTTTTCACGGTGCATCGCCCGTGGCTTTTGACCTGTGCGCGTCGGGATCAGGTAGTCGGGCCCGCCGTACAGGGGACATTGTCTCTTCTCGAATGCGCACACCGGCACTCAAGTGGCCAGCTGCGCACCGTCGTCGTCACCTCCTCCAGCACCATGGTGGTGACGCCTGCGGAGAATGCACCGCCAGGTTACGTCTTCACGGAAAACGACCAGAATACTTGGGCCGTTACGCTCGCGAAGTCGGTGCCTGCCGATTTCCTCAAAGAGCAAGATTGCACCGAGCTCATGTATTCAGCCTCGAAAGTCGCGGCCGAGCAGGCAATGTAGCAGTTCAGACAGGACCGGCGGCCAAGCTTCGCCATCTCCAGCATCCATCCCTCCGTCGTGCTCGGCCCGTCGTCGAATCTCCCCGGGAATCCCCAGGATCTGAATGTGAGTCTGAAGGAAATCTATGAAATCTACTCCGGCACCGAGTCAACGTGTCCGCCTCCAGTCGGGACGGCCTCATTCGTCGAATGTGAGGGATGTCGCAGCCGTGCATTTGTGGGCACTCCGAGATCCTGAAGTGGCGGACGGAGAGCGGTGCATAGCATCTGGTGGATTCGCTTCAACGCAAGGCATGGTCGACGTGATGAGAGAACAATTTCCGGGTCATTCACGCATCGCCCCGGGAGAGCCTGGGAGAGACGATGTCGAAGGCATTTGTTATTGTGATTAGGCGTGTGCCGGTGTGGTATCCCTAGGAGAGGATTCAGATGGGTGAAACCAAAGCACACAAGGTCATGGCAAAGCCGCTGGAGAACGCTGGGGGAGACCGTCCGAGACACGGTCCTCACTTTCCGGGAGTTCTACGGCGAGAAAGCGGGTCAGAGCAGAGAAGAGACCGACTCTTGACACGGCCATCGCAGAACGGACCGTGGGGGAGGGGACATGCCGGGCGGGAAAGCAAACCAGCCGCTGCAACCGGCGCCGAGGCTCGGGAACCTGGTGGCATGGAGTTTATCCAGTATACCTTAGTACCACCTTGACGTCCTTTGCTTGAATTATAGAATAGAACCAGCTTAGACAGAGCTGCGACTAGGTAGGACTTGGACTCTACCTGTGTTGACGTACGGCTTGTCGAACCCTGCAGGGACAAGGTGGAACAACATTGGACCGACAATGACTACATTTGAGATCAACGAGCGCCTGTTCGAGGACCTGAAAGGCAAAGTGGTAATCATCACTGGTGCGGCCCCGTCCTGATCGAGTACTTGTTCCCTCTACTGTATAACGTCAGGGCTGATCCAGCGGTTGACCAGGAGCAAGCAGCGGCATTGGTCTGGCCACTTTGAAGTTTTTCATTTCCCACGGAGCCCGCGCGGTTGCAGCAGATATCAATCCCCTTCCACCGGACGTTGATGGGGCAGATTTCCGAAAAACGAACCTGACGTCCTGGGCGGAACAGGTGGCGTTGTTCGACGAAACCGTGAAAAAGTACGGTCGGATAGATATCGCGCATCTCAACGCCGGGGTCGGTGAGATCGAGAATGTATTCGTCGACAATGTCGACGCCAATGGAGCCTTGGTGGAGCCGGATTTCACGGTCCTCAAGGTCAACTTGATAGCCCCCATCGTGGGCACCAAGCTTGCGATCCATCACATGAGGAAGCAACCGGGCGGTGGATCGATTGTCATCACTGGAAGCGGTAAAGGTATGGATGGGACACGGGCGTGAAGCCCGGCCTTCTGCAAAAGTCGTGTGCTGACAGACTGAAACCACCAGCTTTCACGGGCGTCGGAGGCACGCCAATGTATGCTACCGCCAAACATGGGGTGAGTTGCACGTTCTGTCTCCTTTGCCCAAGGTCTACATGACTAGTAGCGCTCGCAACATTGGAGTTTCAAAGGCGATATCCTAATCAATGCTTTATCCCATATCGCAGCTCCTTGGCCTTGTGCGGACCTTGGGCCCGGATCTGCATCGAGTCAACGTGCGGATCAACCTGATGTGTCCTTTCTGGACCGACACGGGCATCATCCCACCGGACTTGCTGGCCAAAAATGCCAGTGCGAAGCGATCGATGCAGCCTCCCAGCGCCTGTGCACGCGCAGTTGCACACTTGGGCATGGACCCGAGCTGCTCGGGCAAAGTCATCTATGTGGCGTCGTCAACGTATACGGATGTCGACGCGGGATTGATGGCTACGCGCGCACTGTGGCTCGGGCAGCGGAATCACGAGGATCGCGTGGTATGGGAGGAAGATCCATCCAACGCCGAGTTCAGCACCCCGCTTTGATAAAGCAAAATGCACATACTGTACATACGCAGCTCAGACTGCCTGGGAGCCCCGCGGTCATCGCAGTATCCCTGGCCTAGGAATCTGGTGGGGAAAAAGGTAGAGTGTAGTCAGCATTCGAACGATGGATGGACCGAAGAAGCATTTCCTCGTTGACAAGTCACCTGGTCGGGTGACTGTTGTATCATCAATTAAGAGAGGGAGAGGGGACAGGCTTTCACGGATGCCAGGATCGAGAAAGATACCAAGATCTATACATACACACACCCACGGGTATATGCACAAAACGCCGGTCGAGTGAAATGTGAGCCGCGGTATTGGCCGAGCAGCGTTCGTGATGGGAGCTAGATTCCTGGCATTTGAGACATCCTCGGCTGTCCTTCAAGAACTTTTTAGACGAGTATGATGCAAGCAGAGCGTATTAAATGTGTTTGAAAGGGCCTTTCTCGGTCTCGTATTCCGCCATCGTCGTCTGGCCTGACAGGTCGGGATAGAAACTTGTGCATCAGTCTCCGTCGAATGTCCATCATGCGCAACATTAAGATCGTCCATGTCCCTCACCTGGGCGGCATCGACGCCGCCTACCAGATGCCATTTCCCTTCCGGGCGGAAAAGCCGACTTTGGTCCTCGTCAATGCCATGACTACTTCGTCCGAGCTTTATCGACCACAGTTTGACGACGCTCGATTGAATGGCAAGATGAACTTGATCGCCATCGAGCCGCTTGGACATGGTCAAACCCGTGCCAAGAGCGAGCACTTCACCTACTGGGACACGGCTATCATGAACCTGCAAGTGATGGACGCGTTGGGGATTCAAAGCGCGTTCGCTCTGGGTACGAGTCAAGGTGGATGGATAGTCGCGCGCATGGCATTGTTGGCACCCGAAAAAGTATGCAAGATTGCCCGATTTGTGAGTTGTTTGGGGTCCTTGGATACTAATTCAGGTTGGTGTGCAAAGATCCAAGGCATCATCCCCCTTGGAACATCCATGGACTATGAGTCTCCAAGGTCATTAGCCATGGGAAACTGGGATGGGCTCACGCAATGTGCGGCCAGTCGTGACGCCTTGACCACGGCGGAGCCAACTCCCGAATTTCGTCTCGACGACAGCTACGCCAAACTGATGATGAAAGTTGGCTTCGGGAAAGCTGCCACGCCCGAGCTGGAATCGTTCTGGACAAACGAGCTCAGGGTCAATTATGCCGGTGACGATGGCCGACGACGCTGCCGCATGTGCTGGATCAACCTGGGCGAGCGTGATGGCTTGCACGGGCGACTCCGCGATATCAAATGCCCGGTCTTGTGGCTACATGTACGCAAAAGACTGACTTTGCCATCACGCTGGGTGGACTAACACGTGCCAGGGGTCGGACGATGCTGCCTTCTCGGTGCGAAACGCCGAGGATGAAATCAAGATGTTTACCAACGCCAAAGTGGCGGGCTTGACGGTTGTGCCTGGAGGTGCTCACTACCTCAGTGCCAGCCATCCGAAAGAGGTCGGCACAGCGGTCATGGAGTTTGTCGACAAGCATTTCCACCCAGAATGAGTCCCCAAGGGTCAGTCTTGGTCGATTCGGAGGACGTGGTTGATTCCAGGGGGCCTACGCCGTACAGTTACGAAAGGCTGTGTGATACTAAGGGTGGGTCTGTAATGATGTTGCCGAAGCGTTATTAGTCAGCAGTCACGTGCCGTATCACGTGCGTAGCCCATGCAGCTCCGCAACTGCGACCCACCACTGCCTTTATTACTCACCTCAGTCTGACTGCACCTTTACCAACCTTTACACCTCTTACACACACTCACACCTTTTACGCCAGCAACGCTGCCAGGCTCGGCCCCGTAAACAGCATCGGACCACTTCTTTGCTCCTTTTCCTGGGGATACGAGTAGAGTTTTCCACACAGGGGGGCTGTGGCTCGCACGTCCAACCCAATTTGCTCCAGACTCCCTACTCCATACCCCACGTTCTCAACCTCGGCTCCGCCATTCTCTGCACATATCAAAGTCATGCGGGCAGGGGTAGAATGGGAGAAGGTCTCGCTGGGAACCATCGCCTCTCTGTGCTCAGGCTGCGGCCGAGGAAAATTATCGGCTTGCGTTCTTCTGACATCCTCGACATCGAACTGTCCCAAGCTACCGTTGCATCTCACCCCGGTTTCCTGCCGGTCGAATGGCGATTCCCGCTCCCAGCTCGCCGCGGCCGAGCCAGTCGGCTGGTTCGACTCATGTGCCCGCCAGACCGAGAAAACGTGCTTCGAAGGCGTGCAAGACGTGCCACGCCAGGAAAATCCGCTGTGACGCGACTTTGAAGTTGGGTCCAGGACCATGTTCATACTGCACATCACTCGGAACCGAATGTGTCGTGGAGAGTGTACCTGCTGGGTGAATATGCTCTCCGCGTGAATGTCTCATGGTCGAATGCTTGCTGACTCTTCCTACTGCGTGTCGGGAGTCTGCAGACGGGCTAGAAAGCGCAAAGTTGACGGCACGCAGCCGGCGTCTCGGCCGGGTGGTGCTGGCCCTGTCGATACACAATCGGGCGAGCAACATGGCTGGTCTAAGAATGATGATGCCACCGCCGCTTCTTCTTACCCACAACCAAGATCGGAGACACGCTCGCCGCATGAGGAGACGATGTTCCATCGGGCTCCCTTGGGCTCGCTGCTATGTGTGGCAAGCGGACGTGACACATCAAGGTCGCCGGCAACGCTTGAAGGTGGTCGCCGACCACGGGCTCCAACCGAAGCTGACGAACCCCCGGCCTTGGACAAAGTATGGACCAGTCCGTTAGATTTTGTCGACGCCCTGCATGTGTCGAGCCCTGCGACACAGAAAATTCAACCGCCGGCAAGGCGCTCCGGCTCTGTGGCGAGGTCCAGCAGTAATAAACGCATCGTCTATGCGGACGATACACTTACAAACTCCATCTTGCCTCACATGACCGGCCATCGCTCGTTCAATGCATCTATACATCAAGGCCAAGATGATGGAGCTGTGGGCACCGGCGCCGTGGCAAGGACACAGGTCACAATTGTTTCCCCGCGACCGCCTTCTGCAGACTGGTACGGCCGTCAATTGCAGCAGTCAACCAACAACCCTCTCTCCCACCTGGCAGTAGAGGATGTCGCATATGCTTGCAATGTGAAGAACATTTTGACGTTTCCACCTTTGGATGTCTGTGACATCCTGATGGCTTCTTTCGTGCGCCACTTTCTGCCAGCCTATCCCGTGGTGGACAGGATGCAACTACGAGAGACTTACTCGACCTTTCGCCGTGGCACCATCCTCTCGCCCTTGCTGATGCACTCAATCTTCTTTGCAGCGTGTCAGTACACTCCTGAGTGTACTCTCCAAAAGGCGGGGTTCAAGAAGAGGTCTGTTGCACAAACTTATTTCCACAGCCGAGCGACTCTGCTTTATTCGTTGAACTGCGAAAAGGACCAGCTCGTACTGCTCCAGTCCCTCATTTTCATGAGCCCATGGTGGACAGACTATAGCGAGGAGAAAGATATCCGGTTTTGGACCACATGCGCCTGCAACCTAGCTTTCTCCATGGGCCTTCATAAAGCCATTCCTTCCACGTCCACTCCGTCCAGCCAGCGGCGGAGTCTGTGGCGGAGAATCTTCTGGACCCTTTTCGTAAGGACATATTTCAGCTCCATCTCCTCCATCATTCCGCACTTTTCTGCTTTTCCAGTGCTAACATGGCTGGCACAAAAAGATACGCGATCAAAATGTGGCTGTGGGTCTTGCTCGCCCACCGGTGATCAACCTCGACGACGTCGACGTCGAACCACTCTCCGAGACTGATTTTTACGAGTCCCAATGTGAAGAAGTCGAACAAGGGACTGATGATTGTCCAGTCGACTTTTCCTTCTTCAATGGTATTCACTCGGCTTTCATGATGGATCTCATTATGCTCTCACAGATCAGTATGTCGTCTGTTCGCGCGACTATCACAAATTCTCCCCCGGCCTGCTTGCTTTCAAACCATGCAAACCGCCCATATCCGACTTCCAAACCGTTAGAACTGCCACCCGTGGTCCTATGTACAAAGTAGTCGCTGACAAATAATAGTGTCCGAGGTTTTCAAATTGCGTAACGCACATCGAAAATGTGAGGGTGACCTCTTACCACGTCTTCTCTCTGTCAAGGACCGCCTGGAGCAATCCGACCTTGCCTCGGAGCGTGCATTTCGGCTCCTCCACCCCGGCGAAGACGTGTCCGCACAATCAATATGGCCGATCTCTGCCAAACTCAACCGACAGCGTGTTGTCGTACTGATCCTGCGGGCCATCCACCCCGTGATGCTCGAACAAAACCTCGAGGTTACGCACAATGTGACGGTTCAGCAGATCTGGGAAGGGATTGTCCGGAGCGCCGCGAAAATGATGGCGCTATACGAAGAGCTTCTGTCGTCCGACCTCTTGAAGTACGGTCACAGTTTCTTGTAAGTCGTGCGCTGTATTTGGGTCTCGTGAGGCCCTATTTTTTTCTCTTCTTTTTTTGGACTCGCCGTCGCTAACAAATGACCCGGGGCTGTCTTCCAAAGAAACACCTCCCTCTTCAGCGCGCTCATCACCTACCTCGAGGAGGTGAAAAACAATCCGAAGGATTCACGCCGGTCATGCATGGCCGTCAACAAAATCCAACTCGGCCTGTTGGTGTTGACCGAGCAGCGCCAATACTGGAACGCGGCACGCTGGGCGTATTCCCTGTTCAGATTCTGCCTCGATCGAGATTTCAGCTTTCTTCGAAACCTGCCCCGGGTCTCTCGCTGGCATTCACCGGAGCCTGAAGCGGAGACCCAGGCCACGCCTACGTCGTCCGCTCCTGTGCCCCTTTCGGCACCCATCGAGGGACCGACCGACACGGATGAAGGGCAGGATGATCTGATTGATTTTAATCTGGGCGAAATGCCCCATTGGGACGCCTCGTTCTATGACTCGCCTCAATGGTTTACGGATGCCTTCTCGGGTGGTCTGGACCAAACGTGGATTTACGAGACGACGGCTCCCGGAAAAGAGAATCGAGAGGTCCATCACACAGATGGCCATGTCGGTCCGTGAAAGATAGGGCTTTAATACAATATTTCCATGAACTTTTTCAAAGCCTTACGAGACCACCGCTCTGCCCCACAAAGAGTCTGCGGTGTCTCGCTATAGATGATCCATTGGAGTTGGCACACACACGCGCGCGAGTCAATGCCCAGCCGTTTGCGGGCGACGAAGCAGATGGGAAGCATCGAGCTCCTTCGAGTTCATTTTCTGGACGGCATTTAACGCGCCATTGAGGCCTGACTTCAAAAATCCCCCTGTTCGCTCAGGCTCTTTCAGCTACCTAGTTTTGCCGTCAGGAACTTAATCATCAGGTCCCAACCGCGACGGGTTACTTCGACCGCGTGGCCATTGAAAGTCATGAAACCATGACAGGCCCCGGGCACGAACTTCACGATCGCTTCGTTTCCCGCCAACTGCCACCGCCAGGCCATCATAACGGTGTCATCCAGCAGCCCGTCCTTGGTGCCGACTATAAATAAGGCAGGGACCAGACCATCGAGCTTGTCATATGCAGGTGACATGGTGGGAGCCTTTCTTTGATCGGGCTGCAGCCCGGGGAGATAGGCGTGCAGGAAGTTCTCGGCGTCATCATAGCTCAAGATCGGGGCGTCTGACGGGCCGAGCTCTCTCAGGGACGGCAGAGCTGAGAGATCGAAATTTCCATAGCTCAAGACGACGCCCTTGATATGGGACAGGGCACCGCGTCGTTTCAGGTGGAGGAGCACAAGAGCCGACAAGGTTCCGCCCGCAGACTTTGAATCATGCGTTAGTACAGTAGTAGGCCGTTATTACTTCATCAACCGATAATTATGTTCGCTCATTAGGTTTCTCGTCAAGTCAAGCCTACCTCGCCACCGATGAAACTCATCTCACAGCGCCACTACAGGAGACAACGGTGTTAGCGAAGAGCACGTTAAGTTCTGGACTCGATTCCCGAGGGAAAGATGCTTTTATGCCCACCTTTTCTCGCGAGTGTCTGACGAGCCACTCCGCAACGGTGCAGCAGTCCTCCAGGGCAGCGGGATAAGGATGCTCCGGCGCAAGGCGATAGTCGACCGAAACCACGACCAGCGAAGAAGAGTTGCAGATCTCGGCGAGCAGGAGATCTTGACTGTATGCATCCCCCAAGGCCATTAAAACGTCACGTCTGCTGCCCCCCTTCGCTCCATGGCATGGATTCAGGGGGATGGATTGACTGACTCACCCGCTAGCTGAACCGAGCACGTAGCCTCCACCGTGAATGTGGTAGAATACCCCCCGTGCTCTTGACTTGGAGGGCGGAATACGCGACACTTGATGGCCGGTCCGTGTTCAGAGGTCACGGTCATGTCTTCTGCTGCTGCTTCATCGAGGCAGACGGACGCGGGGAACGGCGTCTGTCCTGCAGCTCGACGCCGACGATACTCGGCAGCTCCACACTGGTTGGCCCGTTAGTTTTTGGGGAAGCCCACAGAGGCCATGTCGGCGAGCATAGAAATGAGTCGCAATGTCATGTTCCATACCGTCCACCACTTTGTATCTTCCTGTCCCAGTTGAATCAGACGGTCGTTGAGCAATGTCGTGCTTGTTGATGTTTCTCCGGGATCAAAGGCGGCGAGGTTCAGAGACAAGTCAGAAGTCAATGGCCTACTACCTCCATTACCTCCATTGAACGTGCTTTCAACCATCGTTGTGACTTGCTGGAGCTTGCTTGCCCAAAGACCGGACCAGAAAGATGTCGATGAACTCTGACTCTTGGAGGACATAATGAGTTCAGAGGGGGCTAGGGGCTGACCTGCTATATACCTTAGTTACCTAACGGAGGCCTACGTAAACAATACGGTACTTTACACAAGGTATTACGGTCCATGACACGTGGATCTCTTGGCGCTGTCTGGCCAACCGTCGGGTAACCTTCCCAGTGACAGATCGGGTGGTGGGAACGAGGAAGCACGTGACTACATTCAGCCCACACTATTGTGTCAATTACCTCTTTGCCGTTCGCGAGCAACACGAACCGATAGAGAAATGAAGTCGGCCCAGCTCAGGTGCACCTCTCATGCGTCCCTTTCCGCTCGCGTACGCCGTCCTCAGGTGAAGCGGTCGGTCGGCTGGCTGGCTAGCTGGCTGGCTGGCGCAATGAGCCGCGCTGATCAAAAGTAGCCGTGGGCCGGTACTGTAAGTCAAACATGAATTGGGGCCGCGGCACGGCCATTCTTCACCAGGCTGGAAGTTGCCGCGGCAGCTGGGCTCGTTGCCTATGAGCAAAGCGTTGCTGCGCAACTCGACAGACGCTGTGAAGAGCATGCATATCTTATTTTTCATGTCTCTGGTGTCGTACAAGAGGGCGAGAAGATGCCATAATTGGTCGACGGGCGTCGCTTTCTTTCACTTCCCATACTGAGAGATTCTCAGATCCAGCTACCCACGCGTGGGACTTACTTCGAACTCACTCCAAGATGTCTCCTGGAAAGGATGGCGAAGGCTTCGTCATGGGGACCAGTTCACGATCAGATCCCCAGTACGACAGCCACGGATGGAAGGTCCAGGATGAGCGAGGCTACAGGATCATCGAGGAGCCGTTTGGAGCACGCCGAAAGTTGCGCGTCATCCACATCGGCGCGGGGGCGTCGGGCATTTGCTTTTCAAAGTTCGCCCGGGACCGGCTGGAGAATGTCGAGTTTCAGGTGTACGAAAAGAACGACGACATAGGCGGTACGTGGCTCGAAAACAGGTATTGTAATTCATTCGGTCGCCCAGCAAGCCAGGAATCCGACTGGGACACTAATCTATGGGTGCGCCTGTGTGTGGCCACAGGTACCCGGGATGCGCCTGTGACATTCCCTCTGTCTGCTACCAGTTCACGTGGGATCGGAATCCCGAGTGGTCGCATTATTATTCGGATTCCCCCGAGATTTGGAGGTATTTCAAGAGTGTCGTTGAAAGGCACGATCTCATGAAGCATATCAAGCTTCGTCACAAGATCATCGCAGCCAAGTGGGAGGAGCAGGAAGGCCTTTGGCATGTCCGGATTCGCGACGAGGAGCAGGATCGCGAATTCACCGACACCTGCAACGTTCTTGTCAACGGCGGCGGAATCTTAAAGTGAGTCGAGCTCGATTGATATCCCGCATGGTCTGGTGGCGGTGGCTAAGCGTGTTATTGCCCCCCAGCAATTGGAAGTGGCCCGATATCCCCGGCCTTCACTCGTTCCAGGGCGTGCTGCAACACAGCGCACATTATACCGAAGGGCTCGATCTCAAGGGCAAAAGAGTCGCTGTCATTGGGACTGGCAGCAGCGGGATCCAAATTGTGGCAAAGATTGCCTACGAAGTGGACCATCTCTACACATGGGTTCGATCACCGACTTGGATCACCGCCGGATTTGCGCAGAAGTTCGCCTCCAATGGTGGTGGTAACTTTGAATGTAGGACATGTTCTTACAGGTTTTGACGGATCTCGCTGGCTGACCATGATAATTAGATACTCCCATCCAGAAGCAGCTCTTCAAGGAGAACCCAAAGCTGTACCTCAAGTACTCCAAGATGATTGAGTCCGAGCTGAACCAACGGTTCAAGTTCATCTTGAAGAACACGCCCGAGTCCAAGGCAGCTAAAGAAGTAGGTTTCTTCCAGGGGCGGATTAGAAAGGCTGTGCTTTGATTGACGGTTTGGACTGCAGTACGCAACAGCCGAGATGAAGCAGAAACTCGCAAACAACCCGGAATTGATGGAGAAGATGATACCCACAGACTTTGACGTAGGCTGTCGAAGACCAACTGTAAGTGTGCTCTTCTGCCACGGCGGACAGTGCATGACCTGTCGTTGGTGCTCGACTTCTGACCACACGCCGTGATCCAGCCCGGGAACGGATTTTTAGAAGCGTTGAACCGGGAAAATGTCACCGTCTTCACGAAGCTCATGACGACCGTGACGCCGAAAGGGTTCATCGACCATACAGGCCAAGAACATGAAGTCGACATCATAATCTGCGCGACAGGGTGCGCACACACACACAGACACACACACACACACACACACACACACACACACACACACACACACACACACACACACACACACACACACACACTCTCTCTCTCTCTCTCTCTCTCTCTCTCTCTCTCTCTCCGCCATGTACCTGCAGTGTCATCTGCTGATGCTGACTGACATAACCTCATGGTCGCAGATTCGTCACGACGTGGATCCCCAGATTCCCAGTCGAGGCCAATGGGACCACTCTGGCCAAACTCTGGGGCGATGAAGCGCCGTCCTACCTCTCCGTGGCTCCTCCAAGCAGTAGGTTTTCTCGCAAAAGTGTTGAAATCTGACCCCTTTGGTGTCCCGTTACTGACAAGTGGCTGACGGTCAAACAGTCCCTAACTACTATATGATGGGCGGACCATACGGACCACTGGGCCACGGCTCTTTCCTACCCATCCTCGAGACCTTGGCTCGGTACATTATCCAGATCATCGACAAGATGCAGACAGACCGGATCAAGGCCCTCACGCCCAGGGCCGAAGCCATCGCGCAGTTCAAGCAGCATGCCGACCTCTTCCTTCAGAGAACGGCGTGGGTGTCCGGGTGCAGTAGCTGGTTCAAACAGGGACGCGTCGACGGCCCCTTGCCCATGTTCCCCGGGAGTCGCCTGACGTACCTCAACATCCTGGAGAAGCCGCGGTTCGAACACTACCAGATCGAGCATTGTAATGAACTCAACATGTTCGAGTTTCTCGGCGACGGCTTCGACGTTCGCGAGTTCGACGGCCGCGACCTGTCCTACTATCTCGGACTCATCGACGGAGAGGACGTCCAGATCGATTTGGAGGCTGAACTGTCTACCGAGATGGCATCACTCGTTCCTCAGGCATCAGACACGTTGAAAGTGGACGAATGATTATAGACCAGATGATCTCGAGACAAGAACAGAGGGTATCGACCTGCTGTCTAGATTTACTTACTTTAGGCGATCAAGGTAGACCAAGATAGACCGGGAAAGACTGTTTGGCAAGCAAGAGGTTGTCGTGGCCGATGAGCTCTCAATCCGATGAACGATTCAGGGTTCGATCCGTGCACGTCCTGGCCGCGAGAGCGACTTTCTGAACTACCTGCGCCATTGCGAGCAAAACCTCATATCCATCTTCTTTGTCGCCCTCCCTGCCTACTGCCTACTGTACCTTGTCATATTGGAATCTCGTGACTTTCTTACCACCACGGCACTTCCGTGGCAACGACCGTGGCGCGAGTAGACACACGTCCAAGTAGAGGGGCATAATTAATCGGGACCCGGACTCTCCTTGATTTCGTGATTTTAGAGGAGCATAATTCATCGGGACCGGGACTCTCCCTTGATTTCGTGATCCCCATGAGGAGGGGTCCCTCCTTCTCTCTCTTGAATTTCGATCCCCGGACACGAAAGACGAGCACCGTCTACTTAGTCACTAGTCCAAGAGTAGGGGGAGAGTGGTGTTCGAGTCTGAATTGCATTCGTGGCACCGACACGACTACTGTATGTGAAATTCAACTGCCCGGCAGAGGTGCGCGTGCCGACACAGGTGCGCGTGCAGCACAGATACCTAGTGGTGACAAGCCAGGCAGCCTGGTGCCGCGACGTGTGCGTGCCTACGAGTACGAGTACGAGTACGAGTAGGGAGATGGATGGTTTTATCCACCGTGTCGAACGGCTCGAGTACAGTATCGTAGACCATCGGGGTTGTCATACTCGAAAGGTGTAGGTGCTGTAGGCCTACGAGCTCTATGAGCATGTCAAAGTCCGAGGAGGTCTCAGGGGCTCTCGATCAGGATTAACTACCTGCACAGGCACCCTACCCAGTATACTAGCTACACAGGCACACTATGCTGACTACTCCGTACACAGGCACCGCAGGCATAGGCAATCTACACACGCCAAAACCAGTCACAATAAGTGCGCTGGAGCGGATTAGCTATAACAGCATACACGTGACCGCTACTGCTTCTTTACAGTACTACAACTTTTATAACCGCCAACACCTACAAGCCAACCGGGAATAAGAAGAGTTAACTCGCTCTATGGAGGGCTTTTAGTAGAACTAAGTAAACTACAAGGACAACGATGTATACAAGGGATTAGTGGCTAGTACTTGGTGTATGTGTGCCCTGTACTCCGTACAGATGTGCCTATGTAGTTAGCCGAGGGTGCCTGTGCAGGCAGTTAATCCCGCTCTCGATGCCCTGGTCAACATGAAAGCCTCAAACAAAGTACCCAGTAAGCATGACGTCGTCGAGTCAAGCAAACAGTTTCAGGTGAGTTCACAGGACCGAGATCACCACGAGCACGCAGTAGGTGGGCGTGGTGGGTAAGGTACTCTTGTTTCTGTACTGCTGCAACTCGTACTCGTACACATACATGATACTCTGTAGTACAGTACTCGTAACTCCTACTCCTGGCTACGCGCACGAGTACCTCGTAAGAGTAAGAGTGCTCATACTGGCACACTGGGCACCTAAGTACCTGGTACTCCGTCCATTCAGATCTTGACCATACCTCGTACAAATGTACAATTCTGGTGCGTGCTGAGGTCTGCAAAGGCGCATCCTCCACAGTGCATTGACTCGCACGAGGAGCCTATGCTATGCATTCACACATGTCGCGTCCGTACTCCGTACCAGCGAGCACATGTACGTTGTCGTTCTCGTTCAACGAACACGATGACCGGCTTGATCCACAAGTGGGTGACAAGATCTGGTGGGTGTCTGGTGAGATCAGCCCTTGATGAATCATCATCCAGCCGCTCAAAGGTCCGTGATCGGGCTTCCAAGTCGCCACAGTCGAGTAAGCGTGAGGCGTCCTACTCTCCTGAGTACGTGTTGCGGCCGTCTAGCGTCTTACCCACGCTCCATACCTTCACAAGAGAACGAGAGGCCGTCGCGCTCGCCCAATGGCAACCTGAACTGCATGCACCAAATGTACTTGAATTCTGTCTGACCGTGGGTCCAAGAGCAGTCTCAGCTAGATAGATGTACAAGATACCAAAGCACCGTGGTATAATTTTTCCAAGCCATGATCCAATGGGGTGCTTCGCTTCGCATGACATTAGCATGCATTGTCGATAGCCCAGGCACCATGAGACTGCTGGGTGTTGGGCACCTCCTTGCTATCCAAGCCTCCGCAGCAGAGTCAATCCCGCTCCCAAGTATACCAAATCTCGTAAGGTTCGTAAGATCATCGCTCCTGAGAATGTTGTGGTCATCTTCCAGCTTCTAGCTGTGAAGGTGTCGGCTGGACTTCCGGCGTCGGTTGTGGTGGCTCTGCCTGTCGACTACGCCCAGGAATCCTCAGTCCGAACCGTGATCTCCACGATTGTGGTTGGATCTCTGCTCCATCTGGAACTGTAGCCGTGCGAGAGCTGGGTAATCTTTCTCCTCGTTGCCGGCGTGCTTGATCTTGTTCCGGTTGACCTCTGCGTTCTGCACGCACCACCAGTGGAAATCCGTGCCGGTCGCGATCATGGTAGACAATGCTCATAAACCTGCCTGGGATGATCATTGCTGGCCTCCGGCCTGCTCGACCACCGCCAATTATTGAGAATGCCGTGGGAGGTGGCTGAATGTTCGCTGGGTTGACATCGGTACCTTCCGGTCGAGGTTTAGGGACGTAATAATCGGCCTTGCATAGAGGACAACAAGCCCGCCGCGATGTCAACCAAGGATCAACACAAGAGGCATGGAAGGCGTGGCCACAGGTCAGTCCGCGGATATCGTCGTCGTCATCAATGGTGTCGATACAGATCGCGCAAGCATCTCCAGGATCTGGGAGCTGTTCTGCCGGTATGGCGGTCTGGATCCGCTCTTCCTCGTCCTCGTCCTCGTCCTCAGTAGCGACCTTTTGTAGAGGGGTTTCGGGTGCGACGGTCGACTGCGCGGATTTGGGTCGGACTGGTGTCCCCGGCGGGTTGTCCGACGTACTCTTCTCACCTCCTACAACTTCCGGAGTCCCATGTCCAGCCGTCTTTTCTTCGTCCGTCGTGTTTGTCGGCATGGCAGCCAGCTCGCGAGCGTCCATCTCTTTCGAGTCCTTGGAATCGCGCTGGACATTGTGTACACTGGCCGGCCTTGATGAAGTATTGATTCCTCCTGCGGTAGGGAGCCCTTCGTCGGCGCGATTGGAGCGCCATGCCTTGTACTTGATCAGCGGGAACTTTTCGTTGACCTCGTCAATCGTCATCAGCTTCTTTTCCCGCCTGCGCCGGTGTTGTCGAGGCATGGCTGTGAGATCTACGGCATCGGGGTCTTCGCCATTCATGCGGGCTCGATTACGCTGGTTGTATCGGAAACAGTATTTCACACCAACAATGATCCTAGGGGGGTAATGGTTAACTGGCGGACGCCATAACGATCGTTCAAGGCTCACCATAAGTTGGTGAAGACCACGCCAAATCCCAGCGCCACGAAAAAGAGCAGTGGCGAACTCGGCCCTGAACCTCCATTGTTGGAGCTGCTTGCAGTAGGCGTCGCGGCCCCGACAGTTGCTGTTGAAGTCGCCATCTTAGATGAGATATGACGGTAAGGGTCAGCGGAGAGATCGGAACCGAACAGGTGCTGATGCCACCATCAACAGAGAGGGACTTTATTCCAGGGCCTCGCTGACGGTTGGTGACATGAAGGACGCCCGAAGCCAACGGACAGTGACAAGCTGAAGGTGACAAACGGGAGTGGCGACCGGAGTCGATGGACTCTGGAGTGACGGCTCGATGCACCAAAGCGATGGCCGGAGAGGAGTGAAATTAAGGTTGTTTTCAGGCACGCAGCTGGCCGGGCGAGCGTCGACGGGCTCTCGTGGTCTGGATCTCTCGCAGGAGGCAGTGCGGCGTATGATGATGGAGGGGATGTTTCAAGGGGAAGCGACCTCAGCTTTCAGGAGGACGAGAGCGCAGTTGGTGATAGGGCGCCCGTGAGTGAGATCCACGGCGCCACACAGTACGAGTAGGATGAGGGATAAAGATAAGGTGAAGGTCTGAAGAGGTCGAAGACGGAGCCGGTGAAGATCAACGACTTCCCGCACCGCAGTCCCGTTCAGTTGGCCTCTTGGGATAGAGGTTGGAGTGGTAGAGGCCGTGGCCGTGGTTCAGACCGCGATACTGGACGGCCAGAGGCTGCAGAGGGAGAAAGAGGCTGGCTGGCGTGGGCGCAGGCACGGCAGGGTGCCAGCTTTTGGAGCGCAAGGGCCACGGAGGCTGCAGCTGTTGCACCCCAAAATCAGGTTTAGTTAAAGGGAGCGGAGGGAGCTAGGCCTGAGGTGGCGCAGAGTCGGGCTTCTCGCAACAGCCCGAGCAGCCCTCACGGCACAGCCGGATCGACATCGCAACCACCGCACAATCCTGGCAAGATTTGCACGCAGTTACTCCGTCCGCAATGGTCTCAATAATGCTGTTCCCCCGACCTTCGCATCCAGTGACATGGCTGTCTGTTCTGCTTCTGTCTGCTGCGCGACTTCTGCACCTGCATGTGCATCTGTCACGATGTGCGTCAAGGTGCTTCAGTGCCTCGAGCCCTGCATCACTCCACAGCTGCAGTTTCAGCGCGGACTTTCTCCTCAAGAGAAACAGCGTCTTGACCACTCCGAGCCAGCGTCTCTCCCGCCTCACGAATCACAGTCTGACCTCCTCCTCCAGCTCATGACGCTTGCGCGCTTCCACCCACGGCCGCCCGCCCGCTTGTCTCTCGCCTCCCCTCTCCAGATGCAGTTGCTCAAAAATAAGGTTAACTGGATCCGTGGGGGATCACTTGACCATCGGGCTTTTATCGCAAACCAGACTGTGCAAGCGTCGATCTACCAGCGAACGGTGGTGCTCTTCGGAAACACCATGGCGTCCGCGGAGAATTTGAGTCGCGACAGCAGTACAGAGTACAGAGTATGTGAGTGTTTGATCAGACTACGAGTACTCCATACACCAAGTGTAAATCGCATTGTGTTCGGTTGTCCACTACTCTGCATCCTCATGCATGTCGAACTTAAACCGCCACCGGAGTCAGTCCGACCTCATTCAAGAAGGTATAATTGTCTCCCACAAGCATGCCCCTTGCAGAATTCCTTTATTTATAAGCCACGGTCTTTCTCGCCGTGATCGCGGTCAGTTTGACTGGCTTATGCGAAACGCAATCCACAAGCAGCAGGAAAGCCCTTGGCAGTTGACTGTAGCAGGACTCTAGTCTCGTCTGCTAAGCCTCAGGTGTGGTGTACATTCGCAAGCAATACCTTGATTGTCGCATTCGTATTGGGACCACCACAAGTATCTACAACACTCGCGTTTTTGTCCCGCCAACTGCCCTCGCACCCTGTACCTGTTTGTTGCATTCGGCAGCACGCGTAAAGCCAGATGAACGGCTGGACAGGCACACAGTAGTTATAGTGGCTGGCGCTGGGGTCAGCGACCATCAATTGTCGGACTATTTAAAGTATTGAACCAGGTCGTCCTCGAAAGGACGCCAGAACGCAAGCACAAAGCCCTGGTAACCCCAGCATTGGTTTCCCTTCTCCCCTCCAGCGCCATGCAGTTCATTGTGTACAAAAGAAAAACTCGGCTTCGTAAGAAGCAAATCCCATAAACTGGCTCATAATCACATATACACGTAAAAGAGACGATGCAAAAATCACATTCAGCGCTGAGATTGTGTCGTCTGTGGTCCTGATGGACTTCCCTGCGGCTTCGGAGTCTGCTCCTCTTCGGCATTGATCGTCTTGGTCGCCACCGGCGTGAGCATCTCGATATCTGCGACAGTTGTTCCTGGTTTCTGTGGGAAGATGACGGGAGGTGTAATCTGGCCACTTGCGGAACGTACGCTCTGTTGCTCCGGATGTGAGTGCTGCGAGATGGTTCTCTCTAGCCTCTTCCGTGGTTGGATCTCGGTCAACGCTGCCGCACTTGGTTCCTCGGGTATCCGCAGGTTCTCCATACGTTCTTCCAAGATCTCGAGCGACCTCCTGAGGCTTTCAGATTCTGTTGCTCGGTCCTCACTCATAGATATGACGCTGCCACGGCTGTTGGTACGCATCATCTCAATCCCGAGCTTTGAGGATGGTCTCGGTGGTTTCCCCATCGGTGACCGAGCTCGTACCTGCACGTCTCCAAGTTCTTCGTCTTCGTCGTCGCCTTCCTCAGCCGCAGCGCTAGGACTGTCTATCTTGCTCTCCAACAACTCCCGTCGCTGTCGGACGGCCTCGGACGACTTCTGACGTCGTGGCGTCCGAAGGCCATACCCACCAAGATCCTCAATACAAGCACTGGGAGGTGCAGATTCTGTATGGACAAGGTGGGGATACCCGCTTTGGATATAGGGCCGCTGATTGATGACGATATCGTCAGAGATGCCTAGGCCAGCCTTTGCCCACTCTTCTGTGGCGGCTCGAGAAATAATGACAGGTATATCATCATTCTTCAGAGAATCCAAATCACTGAAGAATCCGCCACTGCTAATGGAGTCTCCTCGGCTTGAGCCTCGGTAAGACGAATCAGGCATTGTTGGCGCCAGGCTTGACGCAACAGAAATGGGGCTATCTTGCGTCGTCATGGGGTCGAATCGCGTATTGAGATGGGGAATGGTCAGAGGCATCGCCGGTTTGAAATCCTTGGGAGCCGGTTTCCAGGCACAGTACTTAGCCAGCATCTCAGTCAGTTTCTGCGTCGTTGGAGGCTTCTGCATGAGCGTATCAAAATGGTGGACTTCAGGCAGATCTTTCAGGTAACCGGTGATGCAGACAATCGGAGTGGCGGTATTGGCGCTCTTCGTATCTCGGATCATGCGAGCAACGTCAACGCCACTGATGAGTGGCAACTTGAACTCCATGAAGACAATGTCAAACTGAATCTGGCTGATAGCTAGCCGTAAAGCATCTGGTCCATTAGTCGCGGTGATGGTGCGACATCGCAGTTTCTCAAAGAGGCGTTCCATTACCAGTCTCGACACCGGATGGTCCTCACATATCAACACGTCCAAAGGCCGGTATGTAGGACCGTCTAGAAAATTGATCTGTGAAAGTCTTCTCGAACTTTGCCGGCGGCGCTGCACTTTCAGCAACGCCTTAGCTTGGGCCGACTCATTATCCGAAGATGAAGGTGAGACGTCCCGCACGAGCAATTGACTCTTGCGCTTATGATGACCGGGGACGAAGGCCTCTCGCTGGATGCCCTGTCCGTCACTCTCCTGCGAACCAACAGTTTGTGATCTGTTTCGTCCATTGGCTGTTGCAGATCGTGGTGGCGGAGGCATTGCTTTGGCTGGTGAAACCGACGTCATGCGGACAGGTTTGATGGGAGAAGAAGTGCCCTGCTGCCCATGCTTGATAGCGTCATGAGGGATATCAAAGAAGCTGTTCGGGGCAAGAGAACTGCTTCCTTGCGATGACCCAGACGTCTTACGGCGGTCATGATGTTGCGCGGTAGAGAACTGAACCAACAGCGGAGACGATGGCTGCGAAGGCCGGCTAGGTGATGAGTTGGAGGTCGCCAGGCTGGATGGCGAGCCGGGTCTGTGACCTTTGCTCAATGAGAGCGCGCGCTTCACGGGCATAGGCATCATCGGACTGCCCTCAAGAGACGGTCCAGGCGAGCCGATCGCTGGGCTGTTAGCGGCGGACATTGCGGCCTGCGAATGAGCATAGCCTCTAGCTTGTGCTTGCATCGCTTCCTTCCTCATTTTTTCTACTATGTCCTTGTTGGCTTTCTCCAGTACTGGCAGGTTCTTGAAATTGAAGTTACCGAAGTCATCTGCAATGACGGGTTCACTCAACCTCCTATTGCGGGAATCGCGCATGACATGAGGGGGAATATGGAGTGGCATAAGGCCACGCTTAGCAGAACTGGCCTGTGTCCTCACACGGAAAAGCGCATCGTGCGGACGGCTGGAGATGTCTGATCCATTTGGCGTGGCTCCAGACGGTGATATTTGGTCCTCCAGTTCCTCTGGAAAGGATGAAAGGGTGGCGCCGCGCGAGTCGAAATACTCTGTATCTTCTGGGTGCTCCGGGTTCGGTATGAATTGGGCCTCGTCTTCCAGGAGTGTGTTCCAGTTGATGTCCGCAAACCAAGGGTGTGCCTGAATCTCACAGCCGCCACTTGGATATTTCTCATCCTTGTTGGCGCCTAGCCTTTCCCTCGGATCCAGCTGGATCAATTTGTTGATGAGATCTTTGGCCTCTGGACTGACTTCAATCTCCTCGTCGTCATCAGGCCAGGCAATTCTCCGGTTGACGATATTGTCAAAGACCTGTTCCGGCGTATCTGCATTGAACGGTGGATAGCCGTAGAGGAACTCGAACATGATACAGCCCAGGGACCACCAATCACACATTTCGTCTTGCACGGCGCCATTGATTGTTTCGGGAGCCAGATAATCTGGCGTGCCCACGAAGCGGCGATCGCTTTCTTCCGGCTCGAAGAGTGGCGGCCCCAAAATCTGGGACGACAAAGGTGGAGCGGAGGGAGCCTGGGAGATGTTGCTCATGGATTGTGACAGTGGGAATAGGTCAGGTGAAGCACTACCCTGGC